GATAACCTTACTTTAAAATTTACCATAAACATTAAATTTCCTATTTAATATTAAAAAAAAAAATGTTCTAAAACTTTTACAACGAGTTTATATTTATATAGAAAAGCTATATAAGCTCTTGCAATAAACTTCACCTTTAAGTGAGGCGTTTAAGTGAAGTATACATGAATTGAAATATTATATATTTGTATATGTAAGCGGTATATGAGGGAGGTGTATATAATAATACCTTACTTTTATACACATCTCACTCATATATCTCTATTATAATTGAGGTAAATGTTGATTAATGTAATTTAATAATATACTAAATAAATATATTTTAAAAATAATTAAAGAATTTCAAGTGCGATATTTAAAAGGGAAAGACAAATTAAAATATTAGAAATTTCTTAAGAAAAAAATTAATAAAAACTAAATGTTAGCAACAAAAAGACAATAAAAAAGATGAGAGAATTTTTAAGAGAAAGGTATAATAAAAATATAAAAATTTTCGGCAAAAAAAAAAAAAAATTATATATTGATCTATTTCAAAACGTTTCCCGTTTGTATTAACTTCCCACAAATCCGTACTTAACAACGAAACCTTATAATATTTCCACAGTATAAGGCTTCTAACATATAATTTAATATCATTCAACCAAATATTTGTTTCCATATTTAATATATTTATAAATCCTCTATAAATAGAAACCAAAATGAGATATATATTTCGTTTTTTATGCATCGCCTCTTCCTATAATAATGGGATTTTGGGAAAAAATAAATTAATGACGTATTTCCGGTTGACCATAAAATCACCACCTGGTGAGAGAAAGCGGAAATTGAAAATTAATTATTAAACAATATATATATATATATTTTTTTTTAATTTAAAAATTTAACTTTATAAAATGTTAAATACCAGTTCGATATATATATAGTTATCTATCAAACTTGAAGGATGATTTGTTGTATTGTTTATTTGCTGTTTGTCATCGTGTGACATGGAATGACATTCAAATCCATATCGGCGTGTCATTCCGACATGTCGCTATATATATACATATAGAAGACACTTTTACAGCTCTATAAACCTGCCAAAAGTTCACTTCTCTAGCTTTTTCTATCCTGTGGCAGTTATTTTCTAAAACTCCTTACTATAAACTATATTTTTTACTCGTATCGAATTCAATTTTGTCAGTGATGTATATATCTTCCATCCATGCAAATGGCTGACACCTAGAAGCTGCCAGATAAAATTTCAATGTTTAAGAAAGAAAAATAAGTCGGCATATACATCTTAGAGCACGTTTCTGTTCTGTTTAGATTGCCAGTTCGACTGTTCCTTGTCATTCTGTTTATAACGACGGGATTCTGAAGTAGTCCATATGTTTTTGTACACTAAGTACAACGGCTGGATACAGCTGTCGCTATTAATATGTCAAAATTTCGGTAGTGAAACTACTGTGTTTAACAATTAGACATTTGAAAAATAATTAAATTTGATTAAAGTTGAACTTGTTCAGGTTCAGCAATCAGTAATTAGGATGCATACTTCTTGACGTTCCGTAATACTTACCAGTTAAAATTAGTACAGATGAAAATAACTTAATGTAAAAAAAAAGTTTTGCTTAATATATTTGAGGTGAACGATCTAAATATAAAGTATTTAAATTTTTATATTTATTTTAATTATTTTTATAATTTAAATTGATATTTTTTTTAATCTGTGGCCAAGTTTGCAATTTTACACAATTTCTATAATTATGAGGCATTTAAGATGGAAAATTATTATTATTTTATTTAAATTTTAGACATTTTACTTTGTTTTTCTGGAAAATTGTTTTCATTTTATTGCTTTTTTCTCATAGAATTTAAGCCTACTTAAAGGTTAAACGATGACCTTTCAACTTTTATGACCTTTTATGACTGGGAAAGTGACGGATGAAGGTCGTAAATGTGTCATTTACATTAAAAATAATGGTTATTTAATAAATTAAAATGACTTCCTTATGTTTTTACAATAAAAAAAAATTATTATTATTATATAATTAGCATTTAAATAATGCTAATTTGTTAATTTTAAACAGTTGAACTTGTAATAAATGTTATATAATTTTGTATTAATTTTTTTATAGCTTCAAGAAATATTAATAAAAATGTACTTTTATTTAATTTTAAAATTATGACAATTTGTCTACATTTATACGACTTAACGACGATCAATTAAGCGAGCCGTATTTTCCTCATAAGCTCAGTATTATAAACTGAAATTACGTTCCTTGCAATTTTACCTGTATAATACAAAACGTAGATAAACAACAAATAAAAATTACGGTCTTAAATATGTTATTTCATACATTTATAAAATAAAAATTATATTTGTTATAAGGCAAAGTTTATAAAAGGAGCGGTCGTAAAGCGAGGGCCTTCAAATATAATCAGGAAAATTGCGTATATTTATGAAAAGTACTATAATTTAATAATAATNACTAATAAAATATTCAGATAGAACAAATTTTACTTAAAACATCTACAAGATTTGAATGTATTTGATGATGAAACACGAAAACTACATTATAAATTTAACTAAAAGTTACATTTTTATAAAATTAACAAACATTTTGTCAATAAGCAATGTTCAATCTACGTTTTCTAGAACTTGCACGTCTGCTTGTATATTCTTCGATTCAAAACTAGTAACTCGAAGAACCAAGACAATTTAGGGGCCCCAACAATTACTCTATAGTTTAATTAGGGGTTGATTGAGCACGCATGAATCTCTAAGATTGCATGTTTGCAATGATAAACATAAACCTTTGTATAGCGCATTCCTCAACTGTTGCAGCGCTCTAACGAATTTAAATAATGTAAATACGTTTTTAAAATGTAATTTAATATAAAATTTTAATGCTTTTTAAATAAATATAGTATTCAAAAAACTCAAATTCACGCTTTAGATTTATCATGATGCTTTATACTGTATTAAAAATGAACAAAGCACCAATTTTATTGTATTTGTGACGAATATATTATTAAGAAGTATATTAAAAAAACTCGATAGAATTCGATTCTTCTTTATAATTATTATATATATCTGTCTAGAGAGGATAATTTTGTTGTCACTTGTCTGCTACATTGTTTTGCTCAAGCTGTTGTCGGTGTTCTCTTGGCCTAGACACATTACACTCTCTCCCTTCATTCAACTGGTAAGACGGTCCCTGGACCAAACAGGATGCTGCTTTTAAAGGGCGACAATTGTTCCCACAGCTGAGAAAGCAGCTGTACTTACCGGATGCCCGTATGTAAGGTTGTGATGATGTCTTATGGGCAGGTATCTCCCTCCCTCCCTTCCTATCCACTACATTAAACAGCTGTTGCTTCACACGTCTAACTACAGGATATACAGTGTGCTACTTGTATAAATATCTACTTTTTGTATATTTCTATATCAAAATTTGGTTTTTGGGGTGCATTTAATAAACAAAGCAATACTAATTAAGTATTTTATTTCTAAATGCATCAAAAGAAACAAAAATAGCGTAAAAAAATGTTGTTAAAAGTAAACTTTTTGCGTCATTTTTCTTTGCAGTTCTCTGTTTATTTTAATGCTGTGTTTATGAAGAAAATATATTATTTAAGTCCCTCAAACACTACTAATTAAGAACAAAGTAAGCGACGTAATCAAATACTATCCCTGTGTAGCATCTTTTAAAATTAACTCTGACAAGGACGGGATGAAAGAGTGCGATCACCTCCATAGTCCCACTTTTCCATTGTACCAATGGTTGAATGAGTTCAACCTCCTCCCCCTAATATGCTAAGGTCGTGTTGGACCAATGTCAGCATTGGGTGGCTGCAGTTCGCGAGGCGAGGTTTACGTCACGGTTCACAGTTTAGATCCGCCACTCCCGATCTAACTTTTGACTGTTTGTATACTACTTTTTTACAGTGTGATAATATGTTGAAACACGTTCATTCCTCATCTTCGAGCCTCTCTACGTATCGTTGTAGTGGACGTGATAATGTTAGTGTCACCAGTTTGGGTAGTAGTGGTGCTCAAGATCCACTTTCTAGCAGATCTAGCAGTTCCAGTAGTCTTCACGAACCTAATCTTCACACTCAAAAGGTATGTTTAAACTTAAAATTAGGTAAAATGTAACTGTTAAAACTGTAGATTATAGTGTTTTTAGTTGCATAATATACCTGCTTTGGCGTTTAGCCAGGTGAAGCAGGAAGCTCTGACGATCAGCGCGTGGTTCCTGATATGACAGGTGGGTTTAAGTAAGCTGGAGGGTATATTTATGAAGAAAAGAACGGAAGGATACGTTTTTAAACACTAACAAACCGACTGCAACACGTGAAAAGTTCGAATATTGTAATTGAAAGTAAACAATAGAGAATAGAAGATCGAACCGTTAATGAGGATCCTGCATTTCATATTTTAAGAGAGCAATTCCTGGCATAAAAAATGCCAAAAAACTAGCTCAAAATATAGTAGAAGGGGGGTATAATTTGTAGAAATCTTTGGTGATTTTACTGCATCTTCTGTTCTGCAACAGTGATTCGTGTAAGACATGATTCGACTACTTAAAAGTCGCTCTATTGCTTTGACCTCTTGACTTCGTTCTCCATATTCGTTTGAAATCCTGTTTCACTCACGCAAAATTGTGTGATTCGCTTGAATTAAATTTTTCTTATGAAAAATAAAAGAATTCTAAAAAACATAAATTTGACGTAAAATTATAGATATTTAGCTATAAAGAAAGCTTGAAATCAAAAGCATAAATTTAGCATGACTCTTAAAAATTTGCGTATTGAAAGCATTTTGGATATGTTTTTAGTAAAAAAAAATTTAATAAATATGATGATATTTAAAAAGCAAGTCTCAAAATAAAAATTTAGCCTTATAAACTTGAAATCAGAGCATAAAACTTAAAAGTCCGCATATTAAAAGCATTGTCTTAGCCTTATTTATTACTTAATGAGGTAATATTAAGAATATAAATTCCAAAAAGCACGCATTTGGCCTAAAATTACAATTATAGAGCCTATAGTTTTAAAAGAGGTTATAAAACATGTATTAGGATTGAAATTAACTTAAAAATCCGCTTATGACGCATGTTTTGAATAATATTTTTTAAATTATAATCGCTTAATAAACGAATTAATTAATAAACTTTTATTTCCAATTTTTTTAGATTAATTAATTAATTATCTCGCTAATTAATTAGCTATCAAATAAAGATATTCTGCTATTATTAATCTTATCAACAATTAAAACAATGTTAAAAACTAATTAAATTAATTAATTAACATGCCGTAAACATAAATGAACTTTTAAATTATAACTTTCTTTATCTGATAACAGTTAGTAATTTCTTATATGAATTATACTAAGAACGAATTTCCCATTGTCTACTCTGCACATAAAAGGTGAAAGGTCATCGTTGGATAGCTTCAAAACACTCGTTAAGAAGATTGATTGATTAATATATTTAAACGTTAAATGCCATTAATGTTCGTATAAGTATGAATGAATTTTCATGATGCACATTCCTCTGAAGATAAACGGCAATTTAGATGATGATGATGATGATACTCGAATTTGGTATGTTCATAATGAGTGTCGCAAGGATTTCGGTTATGTTTTATGTAATTTTTAGGTATTCTACCGTAGATTTTTATTCGAAAAAGTGCTGTTTATATTGAAATTTATGAAACAAAATTTTATTTAATGCTCTCATTACCGAAACAATGTTATAGACATGACGTATGAGCTTCTACTGTATATAAATTATAAATTTATATTGTACATTTTCTATTTTAAAAAAAAAACATCCAAAAAAGATACTATTTTTAAGAAAATATAAAAATTGCGGTTATATATACTGTTTTATTACTAAAACAACGCTGTAAATACGATATATTAAAGTTTATTCACAAATTACTACCATTATCGCGTATTTTCAGTAAACTAAACGTAAAAAATGTACAGTTTATAATTAAATTGATAAAAAAAATACTGTTATGTACGCTATTGCGCTATGCCATAAATACAATACATTAAGATACACGCAAAATGAATTTTAGTAATTACGTCCTTTGAATTAAATGACGAATTGTAAAATTTTTTGGAAGAAATTCTTTTTTTTTTTTTTTTAAAAACCATTTTTTTTTTTTAAATAAAAAAAAAAAAAAAAAAAAAATTATATATTGATCTATTTCAAAACGTTTCCCGTTTGTATTAACTTCCCACAAATCCGTACTTAACAACGAAACCTTATAATATTTCCACAGTATAAGGCTTCTAACATATAATTTAATATCATTCAACCAAATATTTGTTTCCATATTTAATATATTTATAAATCCTCTATAAATAGAAACCAAAATGAGATATATATTTCGTTTTTTATGCATCGCCTCTTCCTATAATAATGGGATTTTGGGAAAAAATAAATTAATGACGTATTTCCGGTTGACCATAAAATCACCAATACTGATTCACTATTATCACCTAATAAATGTTTTATTTAACAATTATTAACTTTTATTTTCTTATTTTTTAAAATAATTAACGCTTTATCAGCACGTGCTAATTTTTCGTTAATTAATACTTTTATTATTTTGTTATCAGCATCTATTGGTTAATTATTAACTTTGAGCTAGTAAATACTATCTTTTAGTTCATCTCGCTTGTAATTAATACAGTAAATACTTTTCTATTAGTAAATCTCCTCTTCTATTTTCCTATTTTCAGTTAATTAATATTTCCAGTTAATAAACAATACCATCTCATTTACTATTTTAAGCTTATTTATATACTTCAGTTGTTTTTTGATTTATTTGTAACTAATTAATAATTTTTTTTTGCCAGTAAACAGTATTTTCTCCTTTATTATTTTCAGATTAATCAATACTTTGTAGATATTGTTTTTNATATTTTTTTTTAATTTAAAAATTTAACTTTATAAAATGTTAAATACCAGTTCGATATATATATAGTTATCTATCAAACTTGAAGGATGATTTGTTGTATTGTTTATTTGCTGTTTGTCATCGTGTGACATGGAATGACATTCAAATCCATATCGGCGTGTCATTCCGACATGTCGCTATATATATACATATAGAAGACACTTTTACAGCTCTATAAACCTGCCAAAAGTTCACTTCTCTAGCTTTTTCTATCCTGTGGCAGTTATTTTCTAAAACTCCTTACTATAAACTATATTTTTTACTCGTATCGAATTCAATTTTGTCAGTGATGTATATATCTTCCATCCATGCAAATGGCTGACACCTAGAAGCTGCCAGATAAAATTTCAATGTTTAAGAAAGAAAAATAAGTCGGCATATACATCTTAGAGCACGTTTCTGTTCTGTTTAGATTGCCAGTTCGACTGTTCCTTGTCATTCTGTTTATAACGACGGGATTCTGAAGTAGTCCATATGTTTTTGTACACTAAGTACAACGGCTGGATACAGCTGTCGCTATTAATATGTCAAAATTTCGGTAGTGAAACTACTGTGTTTAACAATTAGACATTTGAAAAATAATTAAATTTGATTAAAGTTGAACTTGTTCAGGTTCAGCAATCAGTAATTAGGATGCATACTTCTTGACGTTCCGTAATACTTACCAGTTAAAATTAGTACAGATGAAAATAACTTAATGTAAAAAAAAAGTTTTGCTTAATATATTTGAGGTGAACGATCTAAATATAAAGTATTTAAATTTTTATATTTATTTTAATTATTTTTATAATTTAAATTGATATTTTTTTTAATCTGTGGCCAAGTTTGCAATTTTACACAATTTCTATAATTATGAGGCATTTAAGATGGAAAATTATTATTATTTTATTTAAATTTTAGACATTTTACTTTGTTTTTCTGGAAAATTGTTTTCATTTTATTGCTTTTTTCTCATAGAATTTAAGCCTACTTAAAGGTTAAACGATGACCTTTCAACTTTTATGACCTTTTATGACTGGGAAAGTGACGGATGAAGGTCGTAAATGTGTCATTTACATTAAAAATAATGGTTATTTAATAAATTAAAATGACTTCCTTATGTTTTTACAATAAAAAAAAATTATTATTATTATATAATTAGCATTTAAATAATGCTAATTTGTTAATTTTAAACAGTTGAACTTGTAATAAATGTTATATAATTTTGTATTAATTTTTTTATAGCTTCAAGAAATATTAATAAAAATGTACTTTTATTTAATTTTAAAATTATGACAATTTGTCTACATTTATACGACTTAACGACGGTCAATTAAGCGAGCCGTATTTTCCTCATAAGCTCAGTATTATAAACTGAAATTACGTTCCTTGCAATTTTACCTGTATAATACAAAACGTAGATAAACAACAAATAAAAATTACGGTCTTAAATATGTTATTTCATACATTTATAAAATAAAAATTATATTTGTCATAAGGCAAAGTTTATAAAAGGAGCGGTCGTAAAGCGAGGGCCTTCAAATATAATCAGGAAAATTGCGTATATTTATGAAAAGTACTATAATTTAATAATAATTACGGCTTATATTTATATGTTTTTTATAAAAATAAATTTCCTTTGTATTCGAAAATCATTTTCCTGCTGTTTTTCAATATATTTTTATAATTTTTAAATAGAAACATGTCAAATATCTTTAATAAGAGGTTCCATTGATACAGTTCTATGCTTTGCTATTTTATATTTATATTTTAAGAAACTAAACATATCATTAGTTACAGATCGTTTCATTTCAGGAAATTATAAAATTATTATTATAAATTTTGTTATTGTCATCAGGAACTATATTTATTGTTTATAGCTTTAGTACGGACATAATTTAACTACAAACTGTCGGCATTCTGTTATGTTAAATCATTGATTTATAATTGTAAAATAAGAAAAAAACTTTATTTATAACAATACTGTATCACCGAAAATTAATTTAGTTCTATGAACAAGTTTTTTCCTTGATGCAAGAAACCTTCACATAGCTAGATCATACTTCAGATTTGCTCATTCAGAGTATACCCGACATATTGCAGTTAAACAACATGAATAACGGATAGGGAGCGATGCCCTACCTCAAATTTATCCATTATGGGTATGCCTAACACATAATACAGTCAGTCAGCATGAGTGAAGGGATGAGGAACAATGCCTCGATTCCTTACACATCCTGAACTCTCTCAACAGTGATAACTTGTAATTCTAACTTTAGTGTTATAAATCTAGTTTAAAGTCACTACTTTTAGACTATGTTATAGGCTTAATTTTTCTTCAGTAAATGTCCAAAAAATTTAATTAAACATTTGAATTTCAGGTTCCATTAAAAATCTATGCTCGAGTTTTATGCTCGGATATCGAATACAAAACAATATCCGTAGGATATCACACGACTAGCAAAGAGGTAGTTCGGATGTTGCTCGGAAAATTTAAGATGAAACATAGAGATCCGAATTTATTTTACCTTACAATGGAAGTATGGGTGAGAAAAACAGGCATTCCCATACAAACAATGATGGTCTTAGATGATGAAGCTTGTCCTATTAAGTTACAAAGTTGTCATCCTCACGGAGAATCAAAGTAAGTTTTTTATTTTATTTCGAATGTTTGTTAGTAAATTATAATTAAATTTAATTATTTTTATTTATTTAGATTTTCATTACAAATGAAGAGAGGCGGTTTAGTAAAAGTGTATGATAGTTGTCTAATGGCGGGGGTAAGTTACACAATTCAATTAGGAAAAATCTAGAATAAAATGTTTAATGCGTAGTAAGGTACGGAAAGTAAATAATAAGGAATAGGGCCGACATTTCTGAGCTGCTCTTGGCTCGAACCTGAATCCTCCATAGCAGCAGGATAATACCTACTTTTACTGCTTACTTTTTCATAATTTATTTTCGCGCTATTCTAAATAAAATAAACTTTTAGATAAATAAATTAGTTAATTTTGTGTTTTTAGATAATTTATGTAGACATTTTTATATATTCTAGTCAATGTACAAAAGTTTATTAGTATCGGAAAGAACAACAGCCGAAGAATTGATTCAATTATTGTTGCATTGTTATAATTCGACGGAGATGCCTTCGAAATTTTCGTTATATGAATTATGTTTTATGAGAAAATGTAAGTTTATATTTTAATTTTCTACAAAAATAGTTCCTTATAGTATTACAAATAATAAAGGTTTATAATAATTAAATTTCAGACGAAAGAAAACTAAATGTTAACGAACAACCTCTACGCATCCAACAGAACTGGCCACTTCCAGGACAATACGCCTTTCAGTTGAGGAGGAATCCTAATAATACGCCAATTAAAAGGGTAAGATTTAATAATGTTACTTTACTTTTTTCTTGTTTTTTCGTTAACAATGTTAAGTGTTCGGTTTTAAAGTTCAGAATTTGAGTCATAATGAAATAAAGAAATATGTAAAACTATTAGACCAAATCTGATAGTCAAACCTTTAGTAGTTGGGTGCATTTGCAATAACTGTCTGAATATAGTCATCTAGGAGTAGAATTGTGCTGATTGGCTAAAATACTGGATTAAACTCTGTATCAGGACAATATGCTCAATTTGCATATAATAATTTAGAAGGCTGAAGATAAAAAATGAGTTTTATTTGCAAAAATAATAGATTTAACCGGATAGTCTATAATAAATCAGTAGGATGCATTAAAATAATATTTTCCTGAATTTGGTAGTTTAGGAATAGAATGTATCCTAATACAGTATACTCATATTGCTACATTTACAAAAATATCAAACTAATTTGAATAGTTGGGAAGAGAAAGAATGAGCAACGCAACACATGAGCAATCTGTCAAGAGGGAGACCTCTCGGACTTTTATAGGAAACTGTCCTCTATTTAGGTGTCGGGCACGTGAAGAAAATCCGAAAAACAACCAGTTGATGATGCGCGAACCTACGATCAACTACCTGTGTTCGTGGTTTTATCCATTCGGCCACTGCTGGGCTGAGTAGAAAGGAAAAAAGTGAATACGCTAAAATAAATAACTGTTTGGCAGGCTCAGATGGGGAATTACGTTTGCAATTATACCAGACAATTAGACAATTGGAAATTAAAAAGAATCGAGTGTATTTGTGGAAAATATCAATAATATGAATTTGGTGGCTTGGGATCTAATGGAATATATTTCATTCAGAAAATTACTGAGGTAAACTGGATAGTCAAAGGGAATAAGTTGCATTTATATAAATATCTGCTTGAATTTGACAGTCTGGCAAGAATGTTGTTGAATGTATTCACAAAAATGACCAAGTGAATCAGACAGTTTAGAACAGAAAGAAAACAAACTGTTCTTTCTGTTATAAAAGTACCAAACTGTGTAGTATAAAACTAAACCATCTTATATTTTCTCTTTCAATAAATATCAATACTTATATAAACAATAGTCTATACATATCTTGTGTTTTTATGAAAATCATTTTGCAATACTTTGTTTTATCATGCAAAAGTCATTAAATTCTTGCTTCTATTACAGAACCATTGGCTTTTTTATCAAGAAAAACCGTTGCAACAAACAAGAAATGAAATCCATCTACATCATCATCAACATCAACAGCAACATCAACAGCATGAAATTCATTCAGAAACATTACATTCATCCCAACCAGTTTTCAATGATTACGAAAACTATTTCTATATTTAAAAGTTCAAAAAACATCTTTCATTTATTGTAAATTTTCTAGTCATACAATGAAAGTTTATCATTTATATTGTGTACAAAGTTTACTTTTTTCTTCTTGTAGAAATTTCATGAAATTTATTTATATATATTTTTTCCTTTCATCATAATCTAAATTATATTAATTTATAAAAATTTTATTTCATCAGATATTAAAGCAGATGGAATGAAATTTTTGGCATGAAAAATTAGAATTGGATTTATTTTGTACTTACTTTTAAGTAAGATATTTCATGTTGCAAAGCAGTTAAGCTAGTCTGTTACAGTTTTATAAATATGTAATATCATAATCAAAGTTTGTACATAAATTGTATTTTAAATAATCAGCATTTATAAATTTAGGGCATTTTGAATTTTATCTTAAGGTGAATATATAAATTTGTTATATTTAGAGTTTATAAATAAAGTTATTATGATCTTATCAGGTTCTCTTTTTGGTTTTAACTACAATATTTTAATTATGCAATCACAATAATCATACTGAAACTTACAAACACTATTTTGTATTGCACTTTTACATAAGATATCAATGGTTCCATATATTGTATCAAGATGTAAAGGCTCAATTTTTCCATTGCAATAAATCTGTGCTGTAATAGGATTGGAAGCATCCCATTACATCTTGTGCCTCCAATGGTTGAGAGATGTCATTTTTTGAAATAATAACTTTATTTATACTTACTGCATTTCTGCAATAAGAATTTCCTGTATTCAAAGTTAATTGATTTGTTCATATAATGATTTGGAACAATAAATAGCTAATTTCAATTTACTCATTATGATTGGTTTGATAGGTAATGGGATAAATCCTGTAAGAAATAGACTAATCCATGCATTTGGCTATCCCAAAAAACTCCCTAAGATCCAAATGTAGAATCTGAGGTTTTTGTTGTCTTGCTCATGCAACTAAATAGTAAGAATTGCAGGCCTGGAATTACCAAACATGAATGTATTGAGCTTGATATGTGTCTGATTTGTTATACAGAACCATCTGAACAGTATGAATTATCGTAAACTTTTAACAGTAATTCAGAAGAATAATTAAGAAAAATTGAATAATTAGATTATTTGATTTAAAAACAAAAGTCAGTTTAAATGTTAGAACATTCCAATTTTTGGAACACTTAGTAAACCATTCAATTCGAATGGTAGAACCTGAAATAGGTCTGTAAACTAGGCCAAAAACATTTGTTTTTAATAAAATATTGCTGGAAGTAAGGAAGGTTTGAGATTGATTATTGTTAGGATAAGCTCTAGCTTTGAACAACACAGAGCAAATTTAAATCAATTCTTCATAAAAACAAGAGAATATCTTAGTAATTAGTCATCTGACTGACAACAAACAATAGAGATTGCCAATATTGTTTATTATAAACTTTTTTCTTATAACTACATAATGGAATATGTCTTTAGAATCTTGATTCTATTTCCATTTATATCAAATACTAGAATTATTCTATTTCTTTTATAATAAGAATTTTTTTGAAATACTTATCATAAAAAATTTAGATAATCACAACATTTGTTGCAGGTACAGTGCTTCTTTTTCCATTAATTTACTGAAATAATCCTAGATTATATTCCATCTCTTATATTCTAATAATAATCAAATATAACTTTTTCATTATACACTTTAAATGTTAACTGTTTACAAGCAATATTTTTGTTATAATTCCAAAAAATTACATAATTGATGTTTTTATAAATGACTAACAATGCTAACTAAAATGGTTGTTGTTTAACCAGCATTTTTATGTTTTTTTCAGATATGTAAAATTCATAAATATATTTTAGGAATGATGATTAATCCACTAAGTTATATATACAATAATGATTAGATTTCCAAACTGTGGGTAGCAAGTCACTTTTTGAACACATCATTATAAAAAGTCAGTCAGTTTTACATTCAATTATAATCAATAATAAATTTCAAAAAACAGCAGTAATAAAATAATTTGGTAATAATAAGTTAATTTGGTAATAAAATAATGGTAATAATAAGTTAAGTGGGTCTTGAAAGTTACCTGTGCTAGTTGTTATTTTAAAAATTGTATTGTGGTTCTAAAATGCACTGCAATAATTAATTACATCCTCTGTAGAAACTAATGTAAATTCCTAAATGAGGGAATTCAGATTTAATAATTTGATAGAAGAAAAACAAAATCGTATGCTTTAAATTTAATTAAAAATCCACTTATATACGTAATGAATAAAATATTTTGGTAATATATAAATTATTTTTTGATAGTTTATTCATGGTAATTTTGTTTCAATAGTTTCTTTAACTCTTTTAGGAGATGTGTTGTTTTAACTCCACAATGGCTTGATTGGTTAATAGGGTTTATTTGGTGCAAAGACCATTTTAAGTTAAACTATGTCACATCAATCCTACAATGAGGCAGCTGAGTGATGAGAGATAGGATCCTAACATAACTGGATCAAATCACTCATAAAAATTTCTTAAGATTTGACCCAAATTAGAATTAGAATCCCTCAATTCTAAGTTGGGACTAATACTTTTACTTTTCTGTTGTCCATCAGTCTGTTCATAATAACTGAATGGTAATCTGAAAAATGCAAATTTTTCTTACTTCAGGACAGTTATACACCAACAGAAATTACAACTTAATTAAACATTGGTATTAAAAAATTTTATTTGAAACACTTTTCCAGACTAACAGACATTTTTATAATCAGAAAAGCCAACAAATACTTTTGGTCTAAGCAACATATTATTATTTATTTTTCACTAAAATACTACTTTGTAAATGACAATAAATTCAATAAAAATAGTCTTTCATTTAAATATTTTTTCTCTTTATAACATAATACTGCAGTTTGCCAGTCAACAAAAAACATTGCAATTTTGAAGCATTGTGTTCTGTTAGATTGTTATTGATATTTTTAAAAAATATAATTTATGATTAACATAGTTAAAAAGTTATATATATACATACATATATATTTTATATTCTCTGTAATTTTTAAATTTTTGACTTTTTAAGTTAGATATTATAACTTAAAATCGTCTTGATTGATGTTGAAAATGTTTATGATCCCATAGAAGATATAATTACATGATATGCACCATACAAGTTCACAAGATATTTACAACACATCACTATTAAGCGTTGTGTAAAGTATATTGTATAAAACAATTCTTAAATAATCTATTAAGTAAAAATATTTAATAAAATTCTAAACTATCAAGGAACTATTATTAATTATCTAAAACTTAAACCCTATTTTTTTTTAAGTTTTTTTTGTTTTTTTAAATCACAGGATTGATTTATATATCACAGATTGATCACTAAATGTTTTTTTTTTTCTTAAGAACTCATTCTACATAAATCTAACCAAAAAATTATCTTACAATTCGGTATAAATAATCGAATCGTATCAAAAATTAAGATATATGTATGTCTCCGGCATGGAATAATGGTCGTATCTTACAGGTTATCACTAATATAGTTGATATGGTTACATTTATAAATTTGTTAGTAATGTTTGCAGGAATTAATTTGGTTTGTAATGAAATAATTCAATGCATTAAACATAAGAATGTCTTTCTTACTTTGTAGAAATTGATCGTAGTCAACAAGTTATCTACTATTCAGCATTAACTAATATTTACAAGATTATCTTCACTTTTTGGCTATCTTTTATTACTTTTGACTGCATTGGTTTTCTGTAAACCAATTTCAAGTTCTTGTTGATCTGAAGAAAAGCACTGCTCCAAAAAATCTTCCATAGTCCAATATAAGTGAAATATTACTTTATGTAAACTGTGTTTCTCATCTGGATATATCTACATATAAATGGTACATTAATGTATTTTGTTTAGTTGAATTAACACATAAATAGATTAAAATCTTACCTGAGTTCTGAAAATAACACCTGCATCTGTAAGTGCTTTAATCAATAACATTGATTGCTGAATGTGGACACTATCTGAAATTTTGTAAAATTAATTAATTAATTATTTGTGATTACAAAACTAATTTTCAATATCAATTTTTGAATAAAATGCTGTATGTTTGCTAAAGTAAGGCAATGAGAACATGTTCCCTATTACAAATACAAGTATTATAAACATGATTTTACTTTGATTTTATCTTTCAATTTTTAATAAGTTTATTTAGACCAGTAATTTTCAACTTCCCCCCCTTTTTTTTTGAAGCTTGCACTCTGGCTTATCTTATTATGTGTGACACATCTGATATCCTATCTACTTAAATAAGATTATTAGATTTCAGGTAATCATGTAATACCCATAGAAATCTGTAACACTCTAGAATGATTTTTCTTTCCATGTTTAACTCTTCCCACCTTATGGGCACTAACAGGGCCTTTTTCTATACTCATCATGGGAATGACATGAATCCATTCCTGGCCATGAGTATGGCCAGCTCATAATGGGGATGGCCAAGTGGTAAGGAATAAGATCCATCATATCTGGGTAAATTTACCCATAAAAATTTCTGAGCCAACCACAATTATAATCCAATTCTCTAAAACAGAATCTAAATCTGTGGTTTTCATCATAAAAACCATGATGAAAACCACAGATTTAGATTGTTATAATAACTAAAACATATATTTAAGCTAATTAAACTAAATGTTAAATAAAATTACCATCTGCAGTGCCATGAACAAGTAAATACTTCTTCCTTCTCATATTAGCAGCTCTTTTCATTAAATCAGCTTTACCATAACCAATAAAATTATCAGATGGATCAGGAAACTGCATGTATCTTTCAGAATAAACTGAATCTATAAAAAAATTAATATTTAAATAATTTTTATCAAAACATTACTATATTATTTGATACTTATCTCACCATAATAAAGCCAGCTGGTAATAGGTGCAACAGAAATGCCACAAGAGAATGCTCCATCATCAGAAGCTAATGCCATTGCTGAAGCATATCCACCATAAGCCCATCCCCATATGGCAACTCTCTTTTCATCAATAAATGGTAAGGCACTCTTCATATATCTAATTGAATATTCACATTTTGATAGAATGAATGCATCATCATCTAATTTTAAATTTTCATCTGTTGTGTATGATAAATTAAGATGTTTTACCTAGTAACAGATACCTGATCTTCTACTTCAACAGTACCTAATCTACGATAAATTTCATGTAGAATTTTTTCTCCTCTATTTCCACTTCCTCGTCCATCAATCCAAGCATAAATATAATTTTTCTTGCTAGCTAAATACGTTCCCCAATGAATACTAAATTTTTCATTTACTAATTGGCTTCCTGGTGATCCATCTCTTTAAAAAATTTATTTATGTCAAAAATTTACTGAAAAAATTTATAAAAAGTTAACATTAAATACTAAAATCTAAAATAACTCACACGTTTACTACCATTGGATATTTTGTGATTTCATCATCTCTCAAAATTGCAGGCAGAAATAAACGTACATTTGCTTCTACAAAATAAAATAAATCAGTAAATTAGCAATTTTAAAAATTATTTTTCTACTTTTATTGAAAATCTTTAAATTCTTTTGAATATTTTAATGTTTTCTTCAAAAATTAACTTATTATATACTTACTATATCCATTATGCAATGGTACTTTGAAGGAACGAATTTTTGGTAAAGTTCTTTTATCAACTAGCTCACGCAGAGCTTTGTTATCGTTAATGACATACACTAGAGATATTAAAAAATGTAACAAATATAATTTATTAACAATTTACAATTAAATTAATAAAAGCTACAAATTCAGCATATGATTTGTCACTTACATTTGCTTATTTCTACATGTAGTGTGGTACAAAAGTTGGTTAACTAAGATATGCTTTAATATTACTTTAATAACATCTAAAATTGCTTTACAACAGTTGCACATTATTGTGATTCAATTGCTTCAATGGAATATTTTAACCATTTTTAAAACAATATTTAAATATTTATCAGTTAACTAGCTTTTGGATTATCCTTCATATGAAAGTATGTTAAATTTCAACAACAAACATGCAAATAAAGAAAAGTTTTGTTTAACATAATTAATATAAATAAACTGCTTTCTTAATTAACCAGGATAATTTAGAATAATATATTTTGTAAATAAGATAATTATATGAGTTAATAATAATCTGTTTTAAGATTATTAAAGTAATGATAATAGTTTTATAAACAGGAGGAACTTTAAAAAGTATGTAAGGAAATATCTAGGGATGGTTAAAGGATATTAACATTGATCTTCCATAATGTTCATCTTTACAAGAGTTTTAGATCAACATAAAAATAAAACATATCTAAATCATGCATACTTTTTGGCTTCCTGGTGATCCATCTCTTTAAAAAATTTATTTATGTCAAAAATGTTATATTTTTTAAAGAATTTATATTTTTTAATTTATATTTTTTAAAGAATTTATATTTTTTATGTATTAATAGAAATTGTTTTGTTGTGATATATTTGATAAAATAGTAATTAAAAGAGCATAAAAGAACAATAAAACAGTATTGGCAATATACCTTTTACATTAATAAGGATATATTAATCAGTCAGATGTAACACAGAGAAATTAATAGAAATTTTAAGTAAAAATAATAAAATCCATGGCCGGCGTTATTTACATTTAATACATAAAAAATATAAATTCGACTTTTAACAAAGCTAAAAACTTTGTACTTGTCCTTCTTTTCGCCGTTCTCACCATCAGCAATACTTTAAAAAACGTTCACAAAAAATCACAGAGGCGACCTTCCTTTTGAGGCTACTACCTCTGTAACAATATGTAAAATCACGTAAAGCGTCCTCTGGTGATCTTGCCATATTCACAATAATACATTTTAAGTAAAAATAATAAAATCCATGGCCGGCGTTATTTACATTTAATACATAAAAAATATAAATTCGACTTTTAACAAAGCTAAAAACTTTGTACTTGTCCTTCTTTTCGCCGTTCTCACCATCAGCAATACTTTAAAAAACGTTCACAAAAAATCACATAGGCGACCTTCCTTTTGAGGCTACTACCTCTGTAACAATATGTAAAATCACGTAAAGCGTCCTCTGGTGATCTTGCCATATTCACAATAATACATTTTAAGTAAAAATAATAAAATCCATGGCCGGCGTTATTTANAACGTCTATGTCAACATACCCAAATTTATTAATTGCATGACAAATAATGTTAACTATGCCAGTAACTGTGGCTTTAGCTGAACGTAGTTTTGCGTGGTTGAAACTAATAAAAAATTATCTTCGATCATCAATAAGCCAAGACCGATTTACATCTCTGGCTATTCTTTCAATAGAAAGCAAGGTACCAAACTTAATTAGTTTTGATGATGTAATGAAAGATTTTACGGCAAAAAAAGCAAGAAAAATTATGTAATATTCATCTTGCAAAAAATATATGTAACGTCTTTTGTACTTGTAATAAATAATTTCTTATTGTGAAATTTAAGTATAGGATTTGAATGTGTATTCTGGCCCTGCAAAATTTTTGAACCAGGCCCCACAAAAGGTCACACCGCCCCTGGCTCTTGCCTATAACAGACTTTCCACTCCAATTCATATTTAGTTTACCTGTAACTCAGTGCCTCTTGATCATATTTCTTCAACATAATTTTGTTTTTACAGTTCTCTTCCATCCAAATTTTTCATGGACTACTATCAAATTTTTTGTCCTCTTTGGTGGTGCCAGAATTCTCAAAATCTAAATTACATGAGCTACGATCCTTATCATGCAATGCCATCTCACTTTCTGGGCCACAGCAAACAGTTATATAATAACAATGCAGAAAACAGTTAATTCCAAGAAGTTGACTGTTTTCTGCATTGTTATTACATAATTTGCATAATTAGATTTTTAAATGAAATTGCTTTATACCATGAAATTGCTTGGGGTAAAGTGATTTTCGGCCAGTCAATGAAGCTACCTTAATATTGCTACTTTATATAATAAAACTAAAATTGCTAATTCTGGAGTCAACTGGTTTTTTTACTGAGCTCTTCAGTTGTGCATTATCAGCTCAATATGAGGCTGATAGCATTAAAAAAGAGCTTAAAAATGTCTATATTTAGGCATTTTTAAGCTCTTTTTTAATGTTAACAATAACCAAATTTTGATTATAATCAAGCAGAATTTTGTAAATGTGTAAGTTATATTAACATATAGTATGGTATATATGTTTTGGGATGTGCGTATTTTGATGATGATTAATATATATAGTAGACTTCACTTATCTGCATGTATGATAAGTGAAGTCTACTATATATATTAATTATATGAAAGTCTGGTAAGATAGTAATACTATCATCAATAAAACATGAATTAATTTTTTTTTATCCAGCTTTTACGCAATGTAAATTGTGATGATGTTGATAGTGGAGCTGATGATGATTTTGGGGACTTTGAAGGATTTGAAGTAAGTAAAATATATCATTAATGAATCAAAAACAAATAAATAATAAATAAAGTATATTATTAATTTTTTGAATTTATATAGTTTATTATACTTGTTTATTTTGCACATAGAACAAAGGGGGTATATATCTTGTATTAAATAAAATAGTAATAAGTTATTATTATTTTAAATTATCATCAAAATTTAAAAGCAATATTATTATTTAATCTCATATAGTAAATGTCTTCTGACATGCATGGGATCAAAATATCAGTGCTGAATATCAAAAATGAGGGATTAGTAGGTTCTTTCTAATTTTGTTAGATTTGCTTACAAAGGGTCTATTTATTCTGAATGGTTCAAAAATTATATTTTTTATACTGAATGCTATTATGTTTTTTTCCATTTCTTTTTGCACATCAGTCATGTTTAATATATGGATGCTACATGAAAATTATCTATTTTTATACACACACTGTTTTTTATTTGGTTTTATACAATATAATTTTATTTTTGTAATAATTTCAAATTTTCTAACTTTCCTTTTTTTTTTCTTTGACAACGTATGCTCAAAGATAATCTCACAATATACAGTACAGCAGTGCCTGCAGACTATGAAAGCAGAGGGCACAGCTATAAAAAGAGCATCGTACATACATTATGCAAGAAGAAGATAACTGTGTATATATATATACACAGGTATCCCTTTATTAATGCATTTAATTAATCCCTCATGCTAGAACAAATTTTTGGAATAATAACTAATATTTTTATTTTTATTTTGTCATCATAAAAATGTTTTTTGAAAAGGTGAAAAAAGGTGAAATGGGATTTTGATAAAATCCCATTTCACCCTTATTTTTCATTAAAGGATTTATATGGTGCTTTAATTCTGTTGTTTTTTTGATAAAAATAAGTAACTAATTAAAAAACAAAATGAAATCTTAGAGCTCCCTTGGGGATTAAGAGAAAGGCAACCTGATGACAAAATGGGCACATGCCCCAAGTGACCCAATGTACGGGCACTCGACTGATGATAATTTGTATTTGGTTCAAAGTACTAGTCAAATAAAATAATTTTATGTTGCTTCATAATGATAAAACTGCTTGATTTAGGTATTTATTTAATTACCTGAATCAATTATTCAATTTGCCATATTTAGGACTACATGTAAAGATTTTTACAGTTCAGTGAATTAAATGATTCAAATTTCAAATATTGAGTTTTTTAAACAAATAAAATTAATTATTAAAACAGTTTGGCTAACTTATTTATAAATACTTGATATATACTTGTACTAAATAACATATTGTAAATAATCAAAATAATCATACAAAGCTTATTGTCAATGGTTCTTCTCATTTCTATTTGTGGTATATCAGGACCAAGGCACTCAAGAATAAAATATTTAGCACTCGGGCTGAATCTAGCATTATTAAAAAGACAAGATTTCCCCAAATTACATGACAAACATGTGATGTTCTTATGAGAACTGGCTGCAAATAGATGTTGTTCACCTGATTTTTCTTCTAAAGTGCTGATAAAGTATCTGAAAAAATTTTTTTTATTTAGAACTAAATACTTGTATTACTATAAGTACTGTTAATATATTATTATAAACTTTGTAAAATTAAAACAATGTATATTATTAAGATAAAAAAAATCAATATATAAATATGCCATGGAAATTATGCAGCTGATATATAAAATGTTTTGAAAGTAATATTAAAAAGTAAGAATTTCAGATAATAACTTAAAATAATAAAAATGTTACTCAATGATTCTCTATCACATGAGGCAGAGACATTAAAAAAATAACTTGTGCTTAGGACAACAAAACTCAGATAGTAAATTCTAAAATCTTATAGAAATTCTTCTGCATTCAATTGGAACAATGATGCTGGTTAATTTAGTTAACCAAAAATATTATTGTATAAATTTTATGCTGGATATTAGATTCTTTTGTTTCTTACATCTATTAGACTCCTGATTATCCAGATGAGATGAAAGAAATGGTTAAATAAATTACTTTTGCTGAAAGTTAATATAAATTCCTAGAAGAAAAAATAAATTGTTTTAAATAAATAAATTTAATATATTTCATACTTACATAGCTTGGTTTGCTTTATAATAAGAAAGAAGTTGCACAACATCATATTTTCCGCTTGTCAAAAATTGCACACTACTGTTCTAGAAGAAAATTTATTTTTATTAAAATTTAATTTTATATTATAATTTGTTTAATGTCACATTCAAATAATAACCAACCTTTACATTAATCATAGCAACATGTCTAAAATTTCCAGAAAACCCTTCTGACTTGGGAAGATAAATGAAATAATTTTGTTTATTTGAAGAAAAAATAAGAGGATTATTCATTTCAACCCAACCATTCTTGTCACTGTTAACTTGATAATTCTGAATGAAATATTATAAATGTGTGATAAAGAATCAAATATAAAATGCACATTCAATTTAATTTAATGAAAAATTTTGTTTTTATTTAATGTTTTATAAATTATAAATTTGAATTATTATATACTTTTTCACATTTCCATCCTTTATCACCATAGCAGATACTAATAATTGATGAATTTTGAAGTCTCTGCAACCAAACAATTGCTAGCTGATTAGAATCAATCCACTGTACTGAAGTTACATAATAATCTCTGCAAAAAATTAAAATAATTGTTTAATTTTTATGATTAAAATTTTGTTAATGTTAGGATGACCAAATGAAAAATTCATTTGTTTGGAGTAAACTTGGTGATGCCTGTGAGATGTTTTGAATGTTATCCTTAAAGTCTATAATAAATAAATGTTCAAGATTGAAATATTTTCTCACTATGAAAAGCAAGGCAGTAACAAGTGTGGCCAGCTCACAGTATTACCAACTCACTCTTTGCAAATAAAGTTTTTGTTTAATCATATGATGTAAAGTTTTGTTTAATCATCCAGTATATAAAATAATTAATTTAATATACTGGATGATTCATAAATAATAAATATTATCATAGTTCATAAATATTATTCTTAAGATCAACAGACTTCACAAATTAAAGAAATCTGGATCTGTCTCTTTGGATCAATTGAAGTAAATCCTGTGAGTTAGATAGATAACTATTGAAATAGTCACGTGTGTTAGGCCATTTTGGAGACACATCTGTATGAAATGTTAGGCAGACATTTCTCAATAATACATATTGACATTTTCAACAAAGTATACATAGATGTATAGAATAGACTGAGAACTAATGATCTGAAAGTTTTTCTCTGAGTTTGTAGAATCTATGGAGACAAAAATAATTTTTATACAAGATTACCCATAAACCATTACTGATTAGACACATTATCCATACATCGTAATTTATAAATAATGAATTACAAACTACAATGTAGGGATCATTATTTACAGATATAAAAATCCTGTATAAGCTATTTAAAAAATTTTAAATTTAAACGTAAAATACTAACTCTAACTATAAATAAATTTTTTATATCAATATAATAAAAGCTATTGTATAATATAATATAAATTATATTTTATTAAATTATTGATGAAGCTATATACTTGTCAGCATATTCTCGTGGTGGATGAATAGTCTGAGGTACAAATTTACCAGGAGTAAGATCAACAACAAGCAATTTGATGGTTGGAATTTTTCGATTTGGCTGAAATGATAAATTATTATTTTTACTATTATTATTGTTTGGCTAAAATTATTTAAAATAATATTTAACTATTTTGCATTTTATTAACTTATTGAGAAAATAATCTTTAATATATAGATATGTATTAATTAGTTCTTTTTATTTAAAAATAAATTTAATACTTTATCTGAAGATAAAACAATCTTTTTTTTTTGCAGTTAAACCTTAGAAAAATTAATGATGAATAAAGACATTCATATATTTTTTCTTTACAATAATCTTAATGAAAAATTTAAAACAACAGTTAATTACAGAATTATTTTTAAAGTACTCAATCTTATGCTTTAAATTACCTTTGGATATCGTATTTGGACAATTTCTGGATATATATTTACATCTTTATGGGAACCATACCATGAATATGATGTAATATCAACTTCTGTGTCATTAAATGTGGCATAACATAATTTTGTACCATCCAAAGACCACCATATTGCCTTGTTAGATAAAAATATTTCCTCTGAAAAATTTAACAAAATGAAATTATGAAAAAATCTTTTTGTTTTATTTGTATTTTCAAAATTACAAATATTAAAAACTACAATATAAATTTAATGCTCTATAATATAATGTAATTAATTTAATGCTTTAAATTATAAGGACATAAAACTTATAGATAATAATATAAAAAAAATAATACTGGTAAATAAATATTACTTTTTACTTTATAAAATTATAAATTATTAGATCAAAAAAATTTGTTATTAGTTTCTGAATACAAATAAAATTAAAACCATTAAATACTTTAGAAAATTAAAATAATAAAAAAAGCCATGATAAATGAAGGAGATATATTAAAGAATAATGTACAATGACAAATTTCTGAAGCATTTAAGGCTTAAATGCTTCAGAAATTGCTACTGTCTGAAGGACAGGTTTGAATCCAAGTCAGATCCTCAGAAATTTTCATAGGTAGTCTGACCTGGATATGTTGGACTCCATTCCTCATCAATTGCCTGTTCCATTGTGGGCCTGATTAACCAACAATGAGTATGAAACATGTTCATAACATGCATACAGAATGAAAAGAATTAATAAAAAAAACAATTTAAGTACTAAGTAGTGGAACTGTATTTTTATATCATTCATAATTATTATTTCAAAACTTCTTAACAAAATTTAGATAAAAATATCATTATGTTAAATAATTTAATATTGAAAGGATGTTTACAGCAAAACTTTTATTGATTTTAAGTGTCTTTTCAGCTTGTTAATTTTCTAATAGGAATTACAGCAAGTTTAGTCTCATGTAAAATAATAAAAGTAATCATTATTTAATTTTAATAACTTTAAAAGTGCATTGGATGTTAAAGCTTGTGGTAATTTCTAATTTTATCTAATGCCTTTTAAGCTATTTAATTTCATCATTTTTCAGCATAGATTCAAAATTAAAAATTGNCTATTATTAATTATCTAAAACTTAAACCCTATTTTTTTTTAAGTTTTTTTTGTTTTTTTAAATCACAGGATTGATTTATATATCACAGATTGATCACTAAATGTTTTTTTTTTTCTTAAGAACTCATTCTACATAAATCTAACCAAAAAATTATCTTACAATTCGGTATAAATAATCGAATCGTATCAAAAATTAAGATATATGTATGTCTCCGGCATGGAATAATGGTCGTATCTTACAGGTTATCACTAATATAGTTGATATGGTTACATTTATAAATTTGTTAGTAATGTTTGCAGGAATTAATTTGGTTTGTAATGAAATAATTCAATGCATTAAACATAAGAATGTCTTTCTTACTTTGTAGAAATTGATCGTAGTCAACAAGTTATCTACTATTCAGCATTAACTAATATTTACAAGATTATCTTCACTTTTTGGCTATCTTTTATTACTTTTGACTGCATTGGTTTTCTGTAAACCAATTTCAAGTTCTTGTTGATCTGAAGAAAAGCACTGCTCCAAAAAATCTTCCATAGTCCAATATAAGTGAAATATTACTTTATGTAAACTGTGTTTCTCATCTGGATATATCTACATATAAATGGTACATTAATGTATTTTGTTTAGTTGAATTAACACATAAATAGATTAAAATCTTACCTGAGTTCTGAAAATAACACCTGCATCTGTAAGTGCTTTAATCAATAACATTGATTGCTGAATGTGGACACTATCTGAAATTTTGTAAAATTAATTAATTAATTATTTGTGATTACAAAACTAATTTTCAATATCAATTTTTGAATAAAATGCTGTATGTTTGCTAAAGTAAGGCAATGAGAACATGTTCCCTATTACAAATACAAGTATTATAAACATGATTTTACTTTGATTTTATCTTTCAATTTTTAATAAGTTTATTTAGACCAGTAATTTTCAACTTCCCCCCCTTTTTTTTTGAAGCTTGCACTCTGGCTTATCTTATTATGTGTGACACATCTGATATCCTATCTACTTAAATAAGATTATTAGATTTCAGGTAATCATGTAATACCCATAGAAATCTGTAACACTCTAGAATGATTTTTCTTTCCATGTTTAACTCTTCCCACCTTATGGGCACTAACAGGGCCTTTTTCTATACTCATCATGGGAATGACATGAATCCATTCCTGGCCATGAGTATGGCCAGCTCATAATGGGGATGGCCAAGTGGTAAGGAATAAGATCCATCATATCTGGGTAAATTTACCCATAAAAATTTCTGAGCCAACCACAATTATAATCCAATTCTCTAAAACAGAATCTAAATCTGTGGTTTTCATCATAAAAACCATGATGAAAACCACAGATTTAGATTGTTATAATAACTAAAACATATATTTAAGCTAATTAAACTAAATGTTAAATAAAATTACCATCTGCAGTGCCATGAACAAGTAAATACTTCTTCCTTCTCATATTAGCAGCTCTTTTCATTAAATCAGCTTTACCATAACCAATAAAATTATCAGATGGATCAGGAAACTGCATGTATCTTTCAGAATAAACTGAATCTATAAAAAAATTAATATTTAAATAATTTTTATCAAAACATTACTATATTATTTGATACTTATCTCACCATAATAAAGCCAGCTGGTAATAGGTGCAACAGAAATGCCACAAGAGAATGCTCCATCATCAGAAGCTAATGCCATTGCTGAAGCATATCCACCATAAGCCCATCCCCATATGGCAACTCTCTTTTCATCAATAAATGGTAAGGCACTCTTCATATATCTAATTGAATATTCACATTTTGATAGAATGAATGCATCATCATCTAATTTTAAATTTTCATCTGTTGTGTATGATAAATTAAGATGTTTTACCTAGTAACAGATACCTGATCTTCTACTTCAACAGTACCTAATCTACGATAAATTTCATGTAGAATTTTTTCTCCTCTATTTCCACTTCCTCGTCCATCAATCCAAGCATAAATATAATTTTTCTTGCTAGCTAAATACGTTCCCCAATGAATACTAAATTTTTCATTTACTAATTGGCTTCCTGGTGATCCATCTCTTTAAAAAATTTATTTATGTCAAAAATTTACTGAAAAAATTTATAAAAAGTTAACATTAAATACTAAAATCTAAAATAACTCACACGTTTACTACCATTGGATATTTTGTGATTTCATCATCTCTCAAAATTGCAGGCAGAAATAAACGTACATTTGCTTCTACAAAATAAAATAAATCAGTAAATTAGCAATTTTAAAAATTATTTTTCTACTTTTATTGAAAATCTTTAAATTCTTTTGAATATTTTAATGTTTTCTTCAAAAATTAACTTATTATATACTTACTATATCCATTATGCAATGGTACTTTGAAGGAACGAATTTTTGGTAAAGTTCTTTTATCAACTAGCTCACGCAGAGCTTTGTTATCGTTAATGACATACACTAGAGATATTAAAAAATGTAACAAATATAATTTATTAACAATTTACAATTAAATTAATAAAAGCTACAAATTCAGCATATGATTTGTCACTTACATTTGCTTATTTCTACATGTAGTGTGGTACAAAAGTTGGTTAACTAAGATATGCTTTAATATTACTTTAATAACATCTAAAATTGCTTTACAACAGTTGCACATTATTGTGATTCAATTGCTTCAATGGAATATTTTAACCATTTTTAAAACAATATTTAAATATTTATCAGTTAACTAGCTTTTGGATTATCCTTCATATGAAAGTATGTTAAATTTCAACAACAAACATGCAAATAAAGAAAAGTTTTGTTTAACATAATTAATATAAATAAACTGCTTTCTTAATTAACCAGGATAATTTAGAATAATATATTTTGTAAATAAGATAATTATATGAGTTAATAATAATCTGTTTTAAGATTATTAAAGTAATGATAATAGTTTTATAAACAGGAGGAACTTTAAAAAGTATGTAAGGAAATATCTAGGGATGGTTAAAGGATATTAACATTGATCTTCCATAATGTTCATCTTTACAAGAGTTTTAGATCAACATAAAAATAAAACATATCTAAATCATGCATACTTTTTGGCTTCCTGGTGATCCATCTCTTTAAAAAATTTATTTATGTCAAAAATGTTATATTTTTTAAAGAATTTATATTTTTTAATTTATATTTTTTAAAGAATTTATATTTTTTATGTATTAATAGAAATTGTTTTGTTGTGATATATTTGATAAAATAGTAATTAAAAGAGCATAAAAGAACAATAAAACAGTATTGGCAATTACAAAATAAAAAAGCTTATCAGAAAAATAAATGTATTGATATATCAAAACAAAATCTAAAAATAATAACTAACTGCTGGATAGCTGAGGTAGTTTAGGCATCAGCCATTGTTCTGGGGCAGGATTGAATCTAAATGAACAACCTCAGAAATTTTTTGGAGTAGTTTGCCCAGATAGGCCATATTCTGTCCTTTATCATCCAGCCATCTTCATTGTAAGCCTCACTGAACTTATGACAGTATGACTAAAAGGCTCATTTAATATGTACAGAGCAGAAAGAGTAAAAAAAGTAAAAGTTTACAGTTTTTAAGTATTTGTAGTATAACCAGAAAAGTCTAAAACAATCTTGCTGTAAAATTTCAATTGAAGAAATTAATATCTCTCAAATAGTTTCTCAACATTAAAACATATTTTGACTTTTATTTTACAATATTACTAAATTAAGAGACAACAAAAAAATTTACTTTTCCAAAATTCTATCCCTTTTTACTCTTATTTTGAACAAATTCATTAACATAAATAAATATGTTATATTCTTGATCTCCGTCTTTAATTTCCCTCATTACATAAGTATATTGTGTTCCCATTTTTATGATAAAAATATGGAAACAAATTTTATTGTTGTGTACATGTTCTAATTTAATTACCATCAGTTTCGTAACATTTTTGGTAACAATGTAAGTGGAGCAAAGTTTTATGGTTTCTGTTAATAAATTGACTCATATTGTGTCATCATTTAAATTTATGTAATGTTTGCATTAAAAAAAATAAACTAGGGAAAAAAAGAAAATATAAAATAATTTTCCATTTTTTGTTAAGTAATTATGACAAAAATTGATAATTCTTATAAAACTAGTTAATAGAGAAAAAATAATTTTTAGTTGGTTTATAATGTTTGCTTTTCTATTGTATCAATTATTTGATTAGTATTTTTGATCCAAATACAAATCATTATCAAGTCTACTGTTTTTAACATGAACAAACATTTGTGAAGAATAGATCTGATGACAGCAGCACCTGCAAACTATAAAAGTGGGGCGCACAAGCTATAAAAAAAAGGACATTTTTTTATAGCTTGTGCACCCCACTTTATATAGTTATGTGGTTAAGAACATTTTATAGTTATGAGGTTATGAGGGATTAATTAATATATATAAGGGATACCTGTATATATATATATATATATATATATATATATATATATATACACAGGTATCCCTTTATTAATGCATTTAATTAATCCCTCATGCTAGAACAAATTTTTGGAATAATAACTAATATTTTTATTTTTATTTTGTCATCATAAAAATGTTTTTTGAAAAGGTGAAAAAAGGTGAAATGGGATTTTGATAAAATCCCATTTCACCCTTATTTTTCATTAAAGGATTTATATGGTGCTTTAATTCTGTTGTTTTTTTGATAAAAATAAGTAACTAATTAAAAAACAAAATGAAATCTTAGAGCTCCCTTGGGGATTAAGAGAAAGGCAACCTGATGACAAAATGGGCACATGCCCCAAGTGACCCAATGTACGGGCACTCGACTGATGATAATTTGTATTTGGTTCAAAGTACTAGTCAAATAAAATAATTTTATGTTGCTTCATAATGATAAAACTGCTTGATTTAGGTATTTATTTAATTACCTGAATCAATTATTCAATTTGCCATATTTAGGACTACATGTAAAGATTTTTACAGTTCAGTGAATTAAATGATTCAAATTTCAAATATTGAGTTTTTTAAACAAATAAAATTAATTATTAAAACAGTTTGGCTAACTTATTTATAAATACTTGATATATACTTGTACTAAATAACATATTGTAAATAATCAAAATAATCATACAAAGCTTATTGTCAATGGTTCTTCTCATTTCTATTTGTGGTATATCAGGACCAAGGCACTCAAGAATAAAATATTTAGCACTCGGGCTGAATCTAGCATTATTAAAAAGACAAGATTTCCCCAAATTACATGACAAACATGTGATGTTCTTATGAGAACTGGCTGCAAATAGATGTTGTTCACCTGATTTTTCTTCTAAAGTGCTGATAAAGTATCTGAAAAAATTTTTTTTATTTAGAACTAAATACTTGTATTACTATAAGTACTGTTAATATATTATTATAAACTTTGTAAAATTAAAACAATGTATATTATTAAGATAAAAAAAATCAATATATAAATATGCCATGGAAATTATGCAGCTGATATATAAAATGTTTTGAAAGTAATATTAAAAAGTAAGAATTTCAGATAATAACTTAAAATAATAAAAATGTTACTCAATGATTCTCTATCACATGAGGCAGAGACATTAAAAAAATAACTTGTGCTTAGGACAACAAAACTCAGATAGTAAATTCTAAAATCTTATAGAAATTCTTCTGCATTCAATTGGAACAATGATGCTGGTTAATTTAGTTAACCAAAAATATTATTGTATAAATTTTATGCTGGATATTAGATTCTTTTGTTTCTTACATCTATTAGACTCCTGATTATCCAGATGAGATGAAAGAAATGGTTAAATAAATTACTTTTGCTGAAAGTTAATATAAATTCCTAGAAGAAAAAATAAATTGTTTTAAATAAATAAATTTAATATATTTCATACTTACATAGCTTGGTTTGCTTTATAATAAGAAAGAAGTTGCACAACATCATATTTTCCGCTTGTCAAAAATTGCACACTACTGTTCTAGAAGAAAATTTATTTTTATTAAAATTTAATTTTATATTATAATTTGTTTAATGTCACATTCAAATAATAACCAACCTTTACATTAATCATAGCAACATGTCTAAAATTTCCAGAAAACCCTTCTGACTTGGGAAGATAAATGAAATAATTTTGTTTATTTGAAGAAAAAATAAGAGGATTATTCATTTCAACCCAACCATTCTTGTCACTGTTAACTTGATAATTCTGAATGAAATATTATAAATGTGTGATAAAGAATCAAATATAAAATGCACATTCAATTTAATTTAATGAAAAATTTTGTTTTTATTTAATGTTTTATAAATTATAAATTTGAATTATTATATACTTTTTCACATTTCCATCCTTTATCACCATAGCAGATACTAATAATTGATGAATTTTGAAGTCTCTGCAACCAAACAATTGCTAGCTGATTAGAATCAATCCACTGTACTGAAGTTACATAATAATCTCTGCAAAAAATTAAAATAATTGTTTAATTTTTATGATTAAAATTTTGTTAATGTTAGGATGACCAAATGAAAAATTCATTTGTTTGGAGTAAACTTGGTGATGCCTGTGAGATGTTTTGAATGTTATCCTTAAAGTCTATAATAAATAAATGTTCAAGATTGAAATATTTTCTCACTATGAAAAGCAAGGCAGTAACAAGTGTGGCCAGCTCACAGTATTACCAACTCACTCTTTGCAAATAAAGTTTTTGTTTAATCATATGATGTAAAGTTTTGTTTAATCATCCAGTATATAAAATAATTAATTTAATATACTGGATGATTCATAAATAATAAATATTATCATAGTTCATAAATATTATTCTTAAGATCAACAGACTTCACAAATTAAAGAAATCTGGATCTGTCTCTTTGGATCAATTGAAGTAAATCCTGTGAGTTAGATAGATAACTATTGAAATAGTCACGTGTGTTAGGCCATTTTGGAGACACATCTGTATGAAATGTTAGGCAGACATTTCTCAATAATACATATTGACATTTTCAACAAAGTATACATAGATGTATAGAATAGACTGAGAACTAATGATCTGAAAGTTTTTCTCTGAGTTTGTAGAATCTATGGAGACAAAAATAATTTTTATACAAGATTACCCATAAACCATTACTGATTAGACACATTATCCATACATCGTAATTTATAAATAATGAATTACAAACTACAATGTAGGGATCATTATTTACAGATATAAAAATCCTGTATAAGCTATTTAAAAAATTTTAAATTTAAACGTAAAATACTAACTCTAACTATAAATAAATTTTTTATATCAATATAATAAAAGCTATTGTATAATATAATATAAATTATATTTTATTAAATTATTGATGAAGCTATATACTTGTCAGCATATTCTCGTGGTGGATGAATAGTCTGAGGTACAAATTTACCAGGAGTAAGATCAACAACAAGCAATTTGATGGTTGGAATTTTTCGATTTGGCTGAAATGATAAATTATTATTTTTACTATTATTATTGTTTGGCTAAAATTATTTAAAATAATATTTAACTATTTTGCATTTTATTAACTTATTGAGAAAATAATCTTTAATATATAGATATGTATTAATTAGTTCTTTTTATTTAAAAATAAATTTAATACTTTATCTGAAGATAAAACAATCTTTTTTTTTTGCAGTTAAACCTTAGAAAAATTAATGATGAATAAAGACATTCATATATTTTTTCTTTACAATAATCTTAATGAAAAATTTAAAACAACAGTTAATTACAGAATTATTTTTAAAGTACTCAATCTTATGCTTTAAATTACCTTTGGATATCGTATTTGGACAATTTCTGGATATATATTTACATCTTTATGGGAACCATACCATGAATATGATGTAATATCAACTTCTGTGTCATTAAATGTGGCATAACATAATTTTGTACCATCCAAAGACCACCATATTGCCTTGTTAGATAAAAATATTTCCTCTGAAAAATTTAACAAAATGAAATTATGAAAAAATCTTTTTGTTTTATTTGTATTTTCAAAATTACAAATATTAAAAACTACAATATAAATTTAATGCTCTATAATATAATGTAATTAATTTAATGCTTTAAATTATAAGGACATAAAACTTATAGATAATAATATAAAAAAAATAATACTGGTAAATAAATATTACTTTTTACTTTATAAAATTATAAATTATTAGATCAAAAAAATTTGTTATTAGTTTCTGAATACAAATAAAATTAAAACCATTAAATACTTTAGAAAATTAAAATAATAAAAAAAGCCATGATAAATGAAGGAGATATATTAAAGAATAATGTACAATGACAAATTTCTGAAGCATTTAAGGCTTAAATGCTTCAGAAATTGCTACTGTCTGAAGGACAGGTTTGAATCCAAGTCAGATCCTCAGAAATTTTCATAGGTAGTCTGACCTGGATATGTTGGACTCCATTCCTCATCAATTGCCTGTTCCATTGTGGGCCTGATTAACCAACAATGAGTATGAAACATGTTCATAACATGCATACAGAATGAAAAGAATTAATAAAAAAAACAATTTAAGTACTAAGTAGTGGAACTGTATTTTTATATCATTCATAATTATTATTTCAAAACTTCTTAACAAAATTTAGATAAAAATATCATTATGTTAAATAATTTAATATTGAAAGGATGTTTACAGCAAAACTTTTATTGATTTTAAGTGTCTTTTCAGCTTGTTAATTTTCTAATAGGAATTACAGCAAGTTTAGTCTCATGTAAAATAATAAAAGTAATCATTATTTAATTTTAATAACTTTAAAAGTGCATTGGATGTTAAAGCTTGTGGTAATTTCTAATTTTATCTAATGCCTTTTAAGCTATTTAATTTCATCATTTTTCAGCATAGATTCAAAATTAAAAATTGTAAATGAAAAAAGTAAAAACAATTTTAAGTTAATTATAATTTTTAACTAAAAATTATAATTAATTCTTAAATGATTCTTAAATGAGATTCTTAAATGAAATAACTAAACATTTAATATAATATAATTAGAAGCATATTTGTATAAATTTTTTAAAAGCAAGAAAAAAATGTACTAAAAAATATATTAAAAATTCTAAAAAATTTAAAAAGTTAATGACTAAATTATAAAAAATGTTTAAAACTTTTTAAATTTTGAAAAATATTTAGAAAGTTAAAAAAATTAATAGGATTAAACAAAATTCTTTTATTAGAAACTAAAATATTTTCCTAAATTTAAAAATATTTTTATTTATTTTTATTTTTTTTCTTATTATTTCTTTGTTTTATTTGAAAGGATCTTCATAAATAAACTGTTAAAATTTTTTTATTGTATGTTTAATGATTTTGGAATTTTATGCAATAAACTAAAAATTAAGTATTTAAAAATTGTTTTTGACACAAACCTAGAATTTTTAAAGATTAATATATTCTTAAGATGCTAATATATTGCTTTAAATATCTAATTTTTAAAAACTATTATTAATTCATCATTATCATGTTAAATTTCAGCATTTTTCTGCAAGTCATCTTCATGCTTCTCTAGCTTGTTCAATCTTCACGCACTTATCCTCTTTCATTTCCTCTCAGTCTCCTGCCCTCCATCTCTTGCTCCCTGAATTACTGCTTTCCTCCAACTCTTGATCTTTTTCTATTCATTTTCTCCATTCCTGATCATTCATCTTGTTAATTATGTCATGAGAACTTATTACAATAGAACAACAATGTGTATACATACAATTCATCATTTAATATATAATTTTTAATTCTATTTTTGAAAAACAGTGATATGGTAACTTGAAGCAAAATAAATTTTCTCAAACCAAAATTATACATAATTATCAATCTCCAAATTATATTGCTATATCATTCTACATGAAGCTCACTGAAAAGAATAGCATATATATTTTCAATAAAAATATTGAGTTATTAATTTTGGTATAACACAAACTTATTTATATATGCAATATATATGGAATTTCTTTTCAACATCTCACTTCATTATGAATAACTAACATCTAAGGAAACATTATATATGTGTAATCACACCTATTTATAATCAATAAATAAATATGCACACAATAAAAAAAAATCACGTAGTTAGTATCATACTCAGATTGCTTTCATTTCCAATCATCTCTAAATATTCATTTGTAAAATGAAATGAATGAAATTCAGAGTTGGAAAGAACTAAATACATAGCATTCAATGAGAGATGAATTCAAGCCACATTGCATTATAATCAATACTAGTTTGTGTTATGATGAATATAAGATGTAAATAATAAGTATGTAACACAGTTTCAGTCACATTGTCACTTCAAGATAGAAAATTGATGTGCTTATGAGGCAAGTCAAGTTCAATTTTATCACAATTTTGTCAAGAAGTAGCTTTAACAAATAAGAAGATAATACCAAATAGATTTTTGGATAAATACTGGCAACCATGTGATAATAGATTTTTAATAATAAGTGTTATTTGTTTCAAAACTACATTAAAATATCAGAGTAAAAAGTTTGTACATTTCTATAAATATCTACCTTCATAAATCCAGTCTGGAATCCCATTCAATACTGCTCCAAAAACTCCAGTGTGAGAGAGAGGAGTTGGTGTGTATCTTTCGAAAACACTTGGAAGATAATATATATTATTTTCATAAACATAAACCTGTTAATAAAAAAATTAATTAAAAAGTATTAAAACTTATCAGAAGTATTTATATTTATTAAATGTAAAAATCTTGATTTAATTAGTATAAAGTTTGTAATTACTTTAAAATTAATAGTATATATTCTTATATAAATTTAATATATTCATTTTAAAACATGTTTTAAATATAGTAGTATCAATAGTGCTGTATAACTATACTCAGAAGCAGGAATGAAGCTTGGAAAATTTGGAACTTATATTAAACAATGATTAAACAAAAGCCCTAAAATAGAAAACCAAAAAAGCAATTGCCATCATTCTCCTAGTATCTTTGGAAGAGGATATCCATGATAAAGCCCTATAGTGAGTGAATGGAGTCTGAAGGAAAAATACTAATATAAACTAGTAAAATCTGAATTTTGCAGAATTGTTGAACAGTGTCATTAATGTGATTACTATAAAGATGCTACTTTAACACATTTAAAATCAGGTATTGTTATGTTTAACGATTCAATGAAGGTTAAATTCACCAATGCAGCAAAACAAAATTAAGAATGAAAGATCTTCTTCTAAAAGTAATATGATATTAGTCATTTAATCCTCAATAAACAACACTGAAATTCTTTTAACGTTTTTCATGTCAACTTTTCACTATTAATATACTAATATTTAAACACATAGCACATGTAATGAACTATTTCAATTTGATTAAACTCATGCAAAAAATCTAAATATTAAAATGTAAAACTTATTTTCTCTTAAAATATGAATGCAATATGATGTTGGAATGCACCACATGATAATTACAACATACTAGGATCAGGTTACATGAAAAATTTTGTGGGAAACTTATTGACATTGTTCACAATTTCTCAAAATGTTCTCCATAATACTGAATGCAATTATTCATTCCGTCAAATCTTCTGGAACATGCAGACATTCTTCTTTGGGGATGGCCCCCAACTAATCATTGTAGGTATTTCAGTTTCTGGTGACCCAAAATGATATACACAAAAACTCTCCATCACTTTTGGAAAGGGAAAAACATTGCAACAGGCCAGGACAGGGCTATCAAGTGGATAGGTTATCAGATGTACTAAAGATACAATTCATTCAGAAATTTGATGATTTTTACAGCTGTGTGGGTGGATGCATTGTTGTAGCCAAGAAGACCTCACAGTCTGGTCTTGGCTGTCTCCTGCTAGAATGCTCAAAGACCTTGGTTAGGCAAAGAATGGTGTACCATTCAGCAATAAGAGTTTTCTTTCTATCAATGAAATGATGCAAATGTGTCCAGTTTTTATATGGCTAACATTTGCCAACCAACATTTCTTGGATGCTTCAATCCAAATTTGGAATTCCAACTTCGTTTCTAGCTCATTCTAATAAACAAATATTTCATCACCAGTAACATCCCATACAGGGTTCCTTTTTCTCCTCAGTGAGAGACTGTGGCACCCAGCAATATGAAACCACCTTTAAATAAAAGGTATATGTGAATAATTTCATGCATTGCTGCAACTCCAATCTTCAAGATATTGCATAATCTCTTTGTTAATATCCAGGGGTGTTCACTCTGACCATGACATCCACACAAGCAACATTCTGCTCAGTAACTATAGTTGAGGGGTGGCTGCTTCTAGTTTCTTTCAGAAAATCTTTCAGACTTGTTCTGCCATACCAAAATTCACCAAACAGCAAAAAACTATGTCTATAATGGATAAATTCAAAAAGGCTGCTGCAAATGCATAAAACACTGACTAAAAAAAAATAGATTTAAAATTTTTATAGTTTTAAAACATGTGGCTACTTACCTTATTAATTATTTAAAGTTTATGTATTTTGATTATTTTAATTCTCAATGTCTTTCCTTTGCTCTTGTCTTCCCTTTCTGAAAGTTTCTATCCCTTTTTAATACTTCTTTTGTAAATATGGGGGGGAGTCTGTTCTGAGAAACATTGAGAACAATAGAGAGAACAACAATGGGCCCAAAGGGGAAGTTGAAACTGGTCACTCTTAAGATCAATTTCAGAGAGGACTCACATCTCCTCATAATCTGAGGAGGTAAGAATGGAAGAGCGAAAAAGGTTAAGCTTTGGCAAGTACCGTGTGGCTCGATAGGACATAAATTTTATTGGTGCTCCTTTCTGAACAAGAGACTTTTGATCATCACAAAGTTGAATAAGCAACAGAACTATATTTGTGACGAAAGCCAGAAGAATTCATTGTGGACCCCATCTTGCAAGTGAGGAACAATATCCCCAGACAAAATCCTGGGTATTTTCACTATTAATCTTTTTATCTCTGTCCTTCTAATTTCTGTATCCTACTTTCCTTTTAAATAGATTGTAAGGTAGTTTTAAGGTAATAGTAATTTTGGGTTACTTCTGTTAGGCGCAAAATGTTTTCTTTTGTTTGGTCCGTAACTACATGCATCCTGAAGTGGGAAAATTCACTGGTATACAATCTTAGTTGAGATCCCAACAAAAGACCCTGCACTACTTGTTTTGTTCTGTGTAAATAAAGTGTATTAATTGTATCTGTTCACTATTTGTGTTTTGGTATTAAACTCTGTATATTGCTTTTATCAGCATTGTATCAACACTCAATCTTCACAAACATCATTGTCCAAAAATACTCACAAGTCACCTCTGTTGCTTCTTCGTCAAAATGACACCACTTTCACTTTGCACACTTGCAGATGGTGACAAAATGGATAGTGACAACTCTTGGTGAAAATGCTTAATAAGAACTGCTTTGCTGCATATGCAACAGATTTTTCTTTATATCAAATACAGCAACATATGAACTATGAACTTAACTCAGAAGAGCAACTGGCCACCAGTGGCCAAGCGGTCTTCATACCCTGAACACTAGGAGTTTGGTTGTGGGTTCACGCCTTGCTCAGATGGGCTGGCCACGTGGAGTTTTCTGGGTTTTCTCTGATCTGTAATGCCTAAATAGGGGCAGTTTCCCTTAACAAGACCTCTCAGAAGGCATCCCGCTAGGCAGATCGTCCAAGTGTTGCATTGCCATAACTTAAGAAACAACAACAACAACAACAACAGAAACACAACTTCAACAACTCAAACTTTCAGAGCAACCCTTGTAAACTCTGGTAATATGTACTCGGACAGTATTTAAAACTGTTCATTGTCTGACTAGCTTGACAAAAATTTGTTTTTGAATAGTTCACTTCTTTAAAACATATTTCATTAATTACAGTTTTGTTATCTACTTAGTGTTTAAATAAGACCATAAAAGATAGTAAAACCAACAATAAGACCAATGAAATGAACATGAGATATCCAATTAACAACTTTAAATGTGATTTATGATTTGATCAAACAAAAACAAAATCTTTAAATACCAGTAACATAACTTTAATGAAAACTTCAAACGTTTTCAGCGTTCTCCAAGGCCTGCCTCAGGTATTTTAATAAAACAAATTCCAAAATGGAATGCTAGAATGATAATATTCAAAAAATCAATTTTAAAATTTTGAACAACTCATAACGTGTACCAAATTCATATGGTAGATAGATTAAAAATCGTAAATGTATGACAATGTCATAAATATACATTTTTAAGATGTACAGTACACAGTGTCTGAGATGAATTAATATAAGTTAACTATGATTGAATTTTTCATAAAGGTATCTCCACACATGCAATACTGTGTTGCAGTCTTTAAAATTAATACACTTGTCGATCAGGATGGCTTTATATATTTCCAAGGCCTCCAGGTTATGAAGATGGTCTGTTTGATAGGCCCTCCTATTAAATGGACCACGATTTGATAGCCTTAATCAACAATTAGAGTTAAAATACAGATCTTATTGTCAGAAGTGAAATTATGTTTTGGCCAAGAATGTCTGTTTTTTCAATTTTTAATATAGATTCAGATACAGATTGTTTGAAACAGTTTTACACTTACAATTTTTATGACATTATCCAATAAATAAGATTACTAAGATTAAAATCACATTAGTGAATAATATTTAATTATAAATAAAACATTAAATATGATCATAACTGCATGTATTGATTTGACTGTAATTTAACAGAGCTAGTAAAAATGTTTTAATTATCAGAAAATTCTTAATTAAAAACATAATTAGATCTTTAAATATTTTAAAAATTTAATATGAATTATATTCTTAAAAATTAGAACTTTTCCAAATTTCTTTAAACATAAGAATTTTATTTGAAGTAATCAAGTCTAAGCATACACAGTTCCAACACAAAAATCCACAAATTCCTATGATGAATAAACACAAACTTGATTAATAAGTGTTTATAAAGTTGAACTAATTACAAAATATTTAAGGGCATCATATCTAATTTACACAATTACAGGTTCAAATACTATAAGAAATAAACATCTAAACATAATGTTTATTTGTCAGATTTTTATGGATATTTACATTATTGTTTCTTTGAAAAACAGTATTATTATTATTTGAAACAGTATTACTAATAGTAATGCTTATTCAAAATTAAAAAATAAGTTGTCATTGTTATGTGACACTGTGGAATGCTTCATAATAGACATAACCATTATTACAAATATAATGTCACACAAAATCATATAAATTACATAATAATTACAAATTTAACATAATAATTAAAGCATTACTACATCATAATAAAACCTGTAAAAAAGAAGATATAATTAAACTTATAATTATTAAACTGTAAACTGTATGATTCAACTTTTGTCATGATTATTAAACTGTTATTCAAAGTCAAAGATGTATGTAGGTATGGTACCACTATACTACTACTCCATATACCTTTATTCACAGTTTTCTATAATATTAAGAGAGTGAAATGAAATCAAATTAANGCCTGTGAGATGTTTTGAATGTTATCCTTAAAGTCTATAATAAATAAATGTTCAAGATTGAAATATTTTCTCACTATGAAAAGCAAGGCAGTAACAAGTGTGGCCAGCTCACAGTATTACCAACTCACTCTTTGCAAATAAAGTTTTTGTTTAATCATATGATGTAAAGTTTTGTTTAATCATCCAGTATATAAAATAATTAATTTAATATACTGGATGATTCATAAATAATAAATATTATCATAGTTCATAAATATTATTCTTAAGATCAACAGACTTCACAAATTAAAGAAATCTGGATCTGTCTCTTTGGATCAATTGAAGTAAATCCTGTGAGTTAGATAGATAACTATTGAAATAGTCACGTGTGTTAGGCCATTTTGGAGACACATCTGTATGAAATGTTAGGCAGACATTTCTCAATAATACATATTGACATTTTCAACAAAGTATACATAGATGTATAGAATAGACTGAGAACTAATGATCTGAAAGTTTTTCTCTGAGTTTGTAGAATCTATGGAGACAAAAATAATTTTTATACAAGATTACCCATAAACCATTACTGATTAGACACATTATCCATACATCGTAATTTATAAATAATGAATTACAAACTACAATGTAGGGATCATTATTTACAGATATAAAAATCCTGTATAAGCTATTTAAAAAATTTTAAATTTAAACGTAAAATACTAACTCTAACTATAAATAAATTTTTTATATCAATATAATAAAAGCTATTGTATAATATAATATAAATTATATTTTATTAAATTATTGATGAAGCTATATACTTGTCAGCATATTCTCGTGGTGGATGAATAGTCTGAGGTACAAATTTACCAGGAGTAAGATCAACAACAAGCAATTTGATGGTTGGAATTTTTCGATTTGGCTGAAATGATAAATTATTATTTTTACTATTATTATTGTTTGGCTAAAATTATTTAAAATAATATTTAACTATTTTGCATTTTATTAACTTATTGAGAAAATAATCTTTAATATATAGATATGTATTAATTAGTTCTTTTTATTTAAAAATAAATTTAATACTTTATCTGAAGATAAAAAAATCTTTTTTTTTTGCAGTTAAACCTTAGAAAAATTAATGATGAATAAAGACATTCATATATTTTTTCTTTACAATAATCTTAATGAAAAATTTAAAACAACAGTTAATTACAGAATTATTTTTAAAGTACTCAATCTTATGCTTTAAATTACCTTTGGATATCGTATTTGGACAATTTCTGGATATATATTTACATCTTTATGGGAACCATACCATGAATATGATGTAATATCAACTTCTGTGTCATTAAATGTGGCATAACATAATTTTGTACCATCCAAAGACCACCATATTGCCTTGTTAGATAAAAATATTTCCTCTGAAAAATTTAACAAAATGAAATTATGAAAAAATCTTTTTGTTTTATTTGTATTTTCAAAATTACAAATATTAAAAACTACAATATAAATTTAATGCTCTATAATATAATGTAATTAATTTAATGCTTTAAATTATAAGGACATAAAACTTATAGATAATAATATAAAAAAAATAATACTGGTAAATAAATATTACTTTTTACTTTATAAAATTATAAATTATTAGATCAAAAAAATTTGTTATTAGTTTCTGAATACAAATAAAATTAAAACCATTAAATACTTTAGAAAATTAAAATAATAAAAAAAGCCATGATAAATGAAGGAGATATATTAAAGAATAATGTACAATGACAAATTTCTGAAGCATTTAAGGCTTAAATGCTTCAGAAATTGCTACTGTCTGAAGGACAGGTTTGAATCCAAGTCAGATCCTCAGAAATTTTCATAGGTAGTCTGACCTGGATATGTTGGACTCCATTCCTCATCAATTGCCTGTTCCATTGTGGGCCTGATTAACCAACAATGAGTATGAAACATGTTCATAACATGCATACAGAATGAAAAGAATTAATAAAAAAAACAATTTAAGTACTAAGTAGTGGAACTGTATTTTTATATCATTCATAATTATTATTTCAAAACTTCTTAACAAAATTTAGATAAAAATATCATTATGTTAAATAATTTAATATTGAAAGGATGTTTACAGCAAAACTTTTATTGATTTTAAGTGTCTTTTCAGCTTGTTAATTTTCTAATAGGAATTACAGCAAGTTTAGTCTCATGTAAAATAATAAAAGTAATCATTATTTAATTTTAATAACTTTAAAAGTGCATTGGATGTTAAAGCTTGTGGTAATTTCTAATTTTATCTAATGCCTTTTAAGCTATTTAATTTCATCATTTTTCAGCATAGATTCAAAATTAAAAATTGTAAATGAAAAAAGTAAAAACAATTTTAAGTTAATTATAATTTTTAACTAAAAATTATAATTAATTCTTAAATGATTCTTAAATGAGATTCTTAAATGAAATAACTAAACATTTAATATAATATAATTAGAAGCATATTTGTATAAATTTTTTAAAAGCAAGAAAAAAATGTACTAAAAAATATATTAAAAATTCTAAAAAATTTAAAAAGTTAATGACTAAATTATAAAAAATGTTTAAAACTTTTTAAATTTTGAAAAATATTTAGAAAGTTAAAAAAATTAATAGGATTAAACAAAATTCTTTTATTAGAAACTAAAATATTTTCCTAAATTTAAAAATATTTTTATTTATTTTTATTTTTTTTCTTATTATTTCTTTGTTTTATTTGAAAGGATCTTCATAAATAAACTGTTAAAATTTTTTTATTGTATGTTTAATGATTTTGGAATTTTATGCAATAAACTAAAAATTAAGTATTTAAAAATTGTTTTTGACACAAACCTAGAATTTTTAAAGATTAATATATTCTTAAGATGCTAATATATTGCTTTAAATATCTAATTTTTAAAAACTATTATTAATTCATCATTATCATGTTAAATTTCAGCATTTTTCTGCAAGTCATCTTCATGCTTCTCTAGCTTGTTCAATCTTCACGCACTTATCCTCTTTCATTTCCTCTCAGTCTCCTGCCCTCCATCTCTTGCTCCCTGAATTACTGCTTTCCTCCAACTCTTGATCTTTTTCTATTCATTTTCTCCATTCCTGATCATTCATCTTGTTAATTATGTCATGAGAACTTATTACAATAGAACAACAATGTGTATACATACAATTCATCATTTAATATATAATTTTTAATTCTATTTTTGAAAAACAGTGATATGGTAACTTGAAGCAAAATAAATTTTCTCAAACCAAAATTATACATAATTATCAATCTCCAAATTATATTGCTATATCATTCTACATGAAGCTCACTGAAAAGAATAGCATATATATTTTCAATAAAAATATTGAGTTATTAATTTTGGTATAACACAAACTTATTTATATATGCAATATATATGGAATTTCTTTTCAACATCTCACTTCATTATGAATAACTAACATCTAAGGAAACATTATATATGTGTAATCACACCTATTTATAATCAATAAATAAATATGCACACAATAAAAAAAAATCACGTAGTTAGTATCATACTCAGATTGCTTTCATTTCCAATCATCTCTAAATATTCATTTGTAAAATGAAATGAATGAAATTCAGAGTTGGAAAGAACTAAATACATAGCATTCAATGAGAGATGAATTCAAGCCACATTGCATTATAATCAATACTAGTTTGTGTTATGATGAATATAAGATGTAAATAATAAGTATGTAACACAGTTTCAGTCACATTGTCACTTCAAGATAGAAAATTGATGTGCTTATGAGGCAAGTCAAGTTCAATTTTATCACAATTTTGTCAAGAAGTAGCTTTAACAAATAAGAAGATAATACCAAATAGATTTTTGGATAAATACTGGCAACCATGTGATAATAGATTTTTAATAATAAGTGTTATTTGTTTCAAAACTACATTAAAATATCAGAGTAAAAAGTTTGTACATTTCTATAAATATCTACCTTCATAAATCCAGTCTGGAATCCCATTCAATACTGCTCCAAAAACTCCAGTGTGAGAGAGAGGAGTTGGTGTGTATCTTTCGAAAACACTTGGAAGATAATATATATTATTTTCATAAACATAAACCTGTTAATAAAAAAATTAATTAAAAAGTATTAAAACTTATCAGAAGTATTTATATTTATTAAATGTAAAAATCTTGATTTAATTAGTATAAAGTTTGTAATTACTTTAAAATTAATAGTATATATTCTTATATAAATTTAATATATTCATTTTAAAACATGTTTTAAATATAGTAGTATCAATAGTGCTGTATAACTATACTCAGAAGCAGGAATGAAGCTTGGAAAATTTGGAACTTATATTAAACAATGATTAAACAAAAGCCCTAAAATAGAAAACCAAAAAAGCAATTGCCATCATTCTCCTAGTATCTTTGGAAGAGGATATCCATGATAAAGCCCTATAGTGAGTGAATGGAGTCTGAAGGAAAAATACTAATATAAACTAGTAAAATCTGAATTTTGCAGAATTGTTGAACAGTGTCATTAATGTGATTACTATAAAGATGCTACTTTAACACATTTAAAATCAGGTATTGTTATGTTTAACGATTCAATGAAGGTTAAATTCACCAATGCAGCAAAACAAAATTAAGAATGAAAGATCTTCTTCTAAAAGTAATATGATATTAGTCATTTAATCCTCAATAAACAACACTGAAATTCTTTTAACGTTTTTCATGTCAACTTTTCACTATTAATATACTAATATTTAAACACATAGCACATGTAATGAACTATTTCAATTTGATTAAACTCATGCAAAAAATCTAAATATTAAAATGTAAAACTTATTTTCTCTTAAAATATGAATGCAATATGATGTTGGAATGCACCACATGATAATTACAACATACTAGGATCAGGTTACATGAAAAATTTTGTGGGAAACTTATTGACATTGTTCACAATTTCTCAAAATGTTCTCCATAATACTGAATGCAATTATTCATTCCGTCAAATCTTCTGGAACATGCAGACATTCTTCTTTGGGGATGGCCCCCAACTAATCATTGTAGGTATTTCAGTTTCTGGTGACCCAAAATGATATACACAAAAACTCTCCATCACTTTTGGAAAGGGAAAAACATTGCAACAGGCCAGGACAGGGCTATCAAGTGGATAGGTTATCAGATGTACTAAAGATACAATTCATTCAGAAATTTGATGATTTTTACAGCTGTGTGGGTGGATGCATTGTTGTAGCCAAGAAGACCTCACAGTCTGGTCTTGGCTGTCTCCTGCTAGAATGCTCAAAGACCTTGGTTAGGCAAAGAATGGTGTACCATTCAGCAATAAGAGTTTTCTTTCTATCAATGAAATGATGCAAATGTGTCCAGTTTTTATATGGCTAACATTTGCCAACCAACATTTCTTGGATGCTTCAATCCAAATTTGGAATTCCAACTTCGTTTCTAGCTCATTCTAATAAACAAATATTTCATCACCAGTAACATCCCATACAGGGTTCCTTTTTCTCCTCAGTGAGAGACTGTGGCACCCAGCAATATGAAACCACCTTTAAATAAAAGGTATATGTGAATAATTTCATGCATTGCTGCAACTCCAATCTTCAAGATATTGCATAATCTCTTTGTTAATATCCAGGGGTGTTCACTCTGACCATGACATCCACACAAGCAACATTCTGCTCAGTAACTATAGTTGAGGGGTGGCTGCTTCTAGTTTCTTTCAGAAAATCTTTCAGACTTGTTCTGCCATACCAAAATTCACCAAACAGCAAAAAACTATGTCTATAATGGATAAATTCAAAAAGGCTGCTGCAAATGCATAAAACACTGACTAAAAAAAAATAGATTTAAAATTTTTATAGTTTTAAAACATGTGGCTACTTACCTTATTAATTATTTAAAGTTTATGTATTTTGATTATTTTAATTCTCAATGTCTTTCCTTTGCTCTTGTCTTCCCTTTCTGAAAGTTTCTATCCCTTTTTAATACTTCTTTTGTAAATATGGGGGGGAGTCTGTTCTGAGAAACATTGAGAACAATAGAGAGAACAACAATGGGCCCAAAGGGGAAGTTGAAACTGGTCACTCTTAAGATCAATTTCAGAGAGGACTCACATCTCCTCATAATCTGAGGAGGTAAGAATGGAAGAGCGAAAAAGGTTAAGCTTTGGCAAGTACCGTGTGGCTCGATAGGACATAAATTTTATTGGTGCTCCTTTCTGAACAAGAGACTTTTGATCATCACAAAGTTGAATAAGCAACAGAACTATATTTGTGACGAAAGCCAGAAGAATTCATTGTGGACCCCATCTTGCAAGTGAGGAACAATATCCCCAGACAAAATCCTGGGTATTTTCACTATTAATCTTTTTATCTCTGTCCTTCTAATTTCTGTATCCTACTTTCCTTTTAAATAGATTGTAAGGTAGTTTTAAGGTAATAGTAATTTTGGGTTACTTCTGTTAGGCGCAAAATGTTTTCTTTTGTTTGGTCCGTAACTACATGCATCCTGAAGTGGGAAAATTCACTGGTATACAATCTTAGTTGAGATCCCAACAAAAGACCCTGCACTACTTGTTTTGTTCTGTGTAAATAAAGTGTATTAATTGTATCTGTTCACTATTTGTGTTTTGGTATTAAACTCTGTATATTGCTTTTATCAGCATTGTATCAACACTCAATCTTCACAAACATCATTGTCCAAAAATACTCACAAGTCACCTCTGTTGCTTCTTCGTCAAAATGACACCACTTTCACTTTGCACACTTGCAGATGGTGACAAAATGGATAGTGACAACTCTTGGTGAAAATGCTTAATAAGAACTGCTTTGCTGCATATGCAACAGATTTTTCTTTATATCAAATACAGCAACATATGAACTATGAACTTAACTCAGAAGAGCAACTGGCCACCAGTGGCCAAGCAGTCTTCATACCCTGAACACTAGGAGTTTGGTTGTGGGTTCACGCCTTGCTCAGATGGGCTGGCCACGTGGAGTTTTCTGGGTTTTCTCTGATCTGTAATGCCTAAATAGGGGCAGTTTCCCTTAACAAGACCTCTCAGAAGGCATCCCGCTAGGCAGATCGTCCAAGTGTTACATTGCCATAACTTAAGAAACAACAACAACAACAACAACAGAAACACAACTTCAACAACTCAAACTTTCAGAGCAACCCTTGTAAACTCTGGTAATATGTACTCGGACAGTATTTAAAACTGTTCATTGTCTGACTAGCTTGACAAAAATTTGTTTTTGAATAGTTCACTTCTTTAAAACATATTTCATTAATTACAGTTTTGTTATCTACTTAGTGTTTAAATAAGACCATAAAAGATAGTAAAACCAACAATAAGACCAATGAAATGAACATGAGATATCCAATTAACAACTTTAAATGTGATTTATGATTTGATCAAACAAAAACAAAATCTTTAAATACCAGTAACATAACTTTAATGAAAACTTCAAACGTTTTCAGCGTTCTCCAAGGCCTGCCTCAGGTATTTTAATAAAACAAATTCCAAAATGGAATGCTAGAATGATAATATTCAAAAAATCAATTTTAAAATTTTGAACAACTCATAACGTGTACCAAATTCATATGGTAGATAGATTAAAAATCGTAAATGTATGACAATGTCATAAATATACATTTTTAAGATGTACAGTACACAGTGTCTGAGATGAATTAATATAAGTTAACTATGATTGAATTTTTCATAAAGGTATCTCCACACATGCAATACTGTGTTGCAGTCTTTAAAATTAATACACTTGTCGATCAGGATGGCTTTATATATTTCCAAGGCCTCCAGGTTATGAAGATGGTCTGTTTGATAGGCCCTCCTATTAAATGGACCACGATTTGATAGCCTTAATCAACAATTAGAGTTAAAATACAGATCTTATTGTCAGAAGTGAAATTATGTTTTGGCCAAGAATGTCTGTTTTTTCAATTTTTAATATAGATTCAGATACAGATTGTTTGAAACAGTTTTACACTTACAATTTTTATGACATTATCCAATAAATAAGATTACTAAGATTAAAATCACATTAGTGAATAATATTTAATTATAAATAAAACATTAAATATGATCATAACTGCATGTATTGATTTGACTGTAATTTAACAGAGCTAGTAAAAATGTTTTAATTATCAGAAAATTCTTAATTAAAAACATAATTAGATCTTTAAATATTTTAAAAATTTAATATGAATTATATTCTTAAAAATTAGAACTTTTCCAAATTTCTTTAAACATAAGAATTTTATTTGAAGTAATCAAGTCTAAGCATACACAGTTCCAACACAAAAATCCACAAATTCCTATGATGAATAAACACAAACTTGATTAATAAGTGTTTATAAAGTTGAACTAATTACAAAATATTTAAGGGCATCATATCTAATTTACACAATTACAGGTTCAAATACTATAAGAAATAAACATCTAAACATAATGTTTATTTGTCAGATTTTTATGGATATTTACATTATTGTTTCTTTGAAAAACAGTATTATTATTATTTGAAACAGTATTACTAATAGTAATGCTTATTCAAAATTAAAAAATAAGTTGTCATTGTTATGTGACACTGTGGAATGCTTCATAATAGACATAACCATTATTACAAATATAATGTCACACAAAATCATATAAATTACATAATAATTACAAATTTAACATAATAATTAAAGCATTACTACATCATAATAAAACCTGTAAAAAAGAAGATATAATTAAACTTATAATTATTAAACTGTAAACTGTATGATTCAACTTTTGTCATGATTATTAAACTGTTATTCAAAGTCAAAGATGTATGTAGGTATGGTACCACTATACTACTACTCCATATACCTTTATTCACAGTTTTCTATAATATTAAGAGAGTGAAATGAAATCAAATTAAAGTTTTATTTATGTTTCTAATTATTTATATATATTTTTGTTTAATAAAATATTATTAATAATATAAAGTGAAATATAATTTTATATTTATGCATTGTAATTTGTTAAATATGTTACATGGAGAATCTAATATTTAACCTTTAACAGTGGAATAGTCAGGTATGATGCTACCCCTTAGTAGTGGAGAATAAACATGCAAAATTTTTAGAGTATTTTTCCACACGTTTTTTTCTCATTACTGTTTCGGAAAAATATTTTGTAAACAGTTATGTCTAGTAAAGAAAAGTCTTTTTTTATTGTTACATAATTCATTTTTTATGTGAATTTTTTTTCATGGTAGTTTTAGGCTAGTTTTTGGCAATACCCCAAAAGAATTTGATGTATATATTCGTCCCTCACCACTGCCACACGATCACCCTTGACGAATATATTCGTCGCTCACTACTGAGTGGTTAATATTTTAAATTAAATATTTAAATTATTAAATTTGATTTTTGAAAATATTTATAAGTTATTATAAATAATTTACTTTGATTCTTTTAAAATAAATAACAGATTACTACCAACTGTGTTCCTTTTGTTCCCCATTCGGCATATTGGTATCTTATTGAAGAATTTTTCGGAAGTAGTGGAGAAAGTTTGCTGGAGAAAAAAATATATAATGTTAAAAATGTAAATAATTAAATATTTATAAAAAGAATAAATTCAGAAATTGCTAAATTTTAATTTTACAATGTAATAATTATTAATTGTTTTAATTTTTCAAGAATTAAAACAAAATTTTATATCTCTAGACAAATTTTATAAAAATTAATTCATTTCTACTGTAAAATAATCTATAAATATCTAATAATAATTGATATTTATTATTAGAATTGCAAAATTCAACATGTCAATAAATCTAACTATTGTATAAATTATAATTAATAATTTGAAATATATATTTATCCAGAAGTATGCATTTTTCATTTCTAATTTAAAATTTAATTATAAGTCAAAGAGTATTTTATACAGAAATTAAATAAATAAAATTATTTTAAACTGAGAGATAGAGCTCTTTCTACTTTGTCATAAAAGTTAGAATTAGAATTTATTGTTATAACATACTAAACAAGATATTAATGATTATATGTCCAATTTCACTTTTTGTTCAATATGAGAGGAGATGTGCAATGGGTGTGGCTGTTAAAAATACAAAATAAACAACCTATCCTAACTTAAAGTCTTCATGTAATATTAGAAATTTCAATTTGATCTTATGGTATCTTAACATCTTAACAGCTAGATGATCAAAGTGTGCCTTCCATTTTGAGGAACTTGGTTTCAAGTTTGAGTTGGAATCTCAGAAATTTTCATAGGTAACCTGATTCAGATGTGTAAGGTCTTATTCTTTGCAACTCAATTATCTCATTAAGGATCTAGTCACAGTTCTTTGTGCCCACTGAACAGAAAGAGCAAGAAAACAAAAGATATCATACTATCATTCATAATAATAAGATGATGATATCATGAAAGATAGGATAATATTATAATAAAGTAGCCTATTCTTCCTATCACTAGAAAGAATAGGCTACTTTAAACAATAGGGAAGTGATACAATACTGTGCAAATATAAAGCTGTTATATATGTTATATGGATATAATGAGATAATATAATGGAATTAAAATTATCAAATAAATAATTAATGTTTAGTAATTGAAATTTAATTTTATAATGGTCGAAACTTTAGTTCAGTGTTTCTCAACCTGTAACTAATCGTCGCCCCCCTTCAACGTAGTATCGCCCCTGTCAATAAAACCGTTACGTAGTATCGCCCCCTTCACTTCAAAATTCCGATGCTGAGGGACAAGGCTAACGCCAAATTCGTACTGCATTGAATAGACTAGTGACCAGTATAATGTTATTTGTTCAATTATTGTACGATATAATGAATAAAATATCCAATTATTCTTAATATAATGTTTTACTCTATCGCCCAGAAAATTGTTTTTTGCCCCCCAAAATATAAATTGTTACAAATCGCCCCTTCAACATGGAAAAACGCCCACATGGGGGCGATATCGCCCCCGTTGAGAAACACTGCTTTAGTTATAAAACTATTCTTTTTTTTTAAATAATTATTTTTTTAAGTTTCTGTACTCAGCTGAAATTAAGTTTGTAGAATTTTGAATATCATTCAGAATAAATTAAATATTAAAACGATATTTAAATTAAAAATTTTATTGAACTTACTCATCACTAATATTATATATTTGGTACTTTGCAGTAAATGAATATCTGTATATCTGAAATACATCAAATTTTCTATTTAGAATAATATGTGTAATATTAAAATGATGTAATAATATAATAAAAAAACTTATCAACATTAAAATTAACATAACAAACCTTTTTTATATCTTGAATAATTAGTAAATAATTTTTATCTGGAGATAAACTATATCCATCAATATAATGTCGGTTCTACAAAAAAAAAAAATTAATCAAATCATAACATGGTAAATTATTCTATGAATATCTTTTACAGAAATCTGTGATATTGTAACATTTTAATTTATTGCTTCTTTTGAATTTAAGTATAGCACTATAGTATTTTCTAGTTCATTCAATGCAATATAATGTTTAGTGTTGATTTTCAGGATAATAAGTATTAAACAAATATTTTATAAAAAGTTCTAAACAATATTTAAAATTATTACAGAATGTGTTCATTTGGGTAATATACTTGTTAAGGAAGACTCTCATAAATAAATCTATATTCCCAGAATAAGGATAGAAGTGATGTTCATAAGTTTACAAAAAACATCATACAACAATAATGATGTGATGTTTGAATTTCCAAACTTTTTATTCTGTTCTATTTTGTTACTTATTACTGCTTCAATAGCTTTGGCATTTAGCTAAAGTAATAGAATGATACACATTCAAGATCCAGTACATTGGCTTTATTCTTATTCTGAGAAAATTACTGTTTAACTGTTTTTCTCAAAGCAAAAGCTTTGAGAAAAACATATATGTGCTAATAACAAGAAAAAATAACTCAAAAAATATATCCAAATTACTTTTTAAATTTAACTTTAACTGTCGTGCAGGCACTAAGAAGCCTTTTTAACACCTATTGTGGATTCAGCCAGTCCTGAAATGGGAATAGCCAAGTGGTGAAGGATGGGACTTGACATAACTAATCATCCATAAAAATTTCTTTCAGCTCAGACTCAAATACAGGTCACTCAGATTAACAGGCTGGTGCCTTTATCACCTTAACCATCTAGCCATCATCAGATTACATTTCTAAAAAATTTTCATTCTAAGAAAAGCAGTTTAAACTATATTTACATTTACTTGGTTTTCTTGGTTTCTGAAGATGCATTATAATTAATTATTTCTAAATAAACTATAAATAAGCATTTCAGGAATAAAAAAATTTTACATTTAATATATATATACATCAATAAATATATACATGCCAATATACTACCATGATTACTGCATCTTCAGGTTAACCTATTATAAGTTTGTAAATTTTAAACTTAAGCAACATATCCTAATGATGAGCACAATAATGCTTAAAAAGGTTAATAAAAAAGTTTTTTCTCTCAAATACAATGCTTTTGTATGTATTTTTTTTTAATCTGAAGATGAGTCTTAGGATTCAAAAGCAATTTAAATAAATTATTTTAGTCATAGATTCAATTTCATGAAATCAATTACCCTAACAAGACAGCTGGATGGTAGAAGTAACAAAGGCATCAACCTATGAATCTGGGGACTCAAGAACCTCAAAAATTTTTCAGGAATGAATCCTAGTTATGTCAGATTCTGTTTCACATCATCTGGCTGTCCACATTGTGGCCTGGTCCAACTCAAGATGGGCCTGGGAGAAAATCCCTCTTAGAGTGCCCACATAGTTAAAAAATTGAAAAAACAAAAACAAACTCTATCCTAATGTAAAAGACTTAAGTATAATTTTTATGTTAAAGAAATAAGTTAAGTTTGATTTATATTTTGAATGCAAACAAAATTAAATTTTAACTAACATAACAGTAGAATTGCTTTGAAACTACACTAAAGAACTTTATATTATATTTTTCTGTCAGTTTAATTAAACAAATTTTATATACAATATACCATTAATTTAAAACTGCTTTTTTTTTAGTGATGTAACGAATATTCGGTTACTATTCGGTATTCGGCCTATTTTTAACTATTCGGCTGAATACCGAATATTTAATCACTATTCGGCCGAATACCGAATACCTAAAAACAGGAGTAATAAATAACAAAAACACAGTAAATTAATCGTTTTGGTATTTAGATTTAATGTTATCGAGTTAGTGCTGTTTGTTTATATTTATTTATAACTTGTAACATGCACAAAATAAAAAAGAAAATAATATAGTCACATGTATTTACAATTTATAATTACAAAGATCAGCACACGTACACGTCTATCGTTGGAGAATCCTCGCACATCTGAGGGTCTGATCCTGCCTATCCTTCTTTTTAAGCGCTCGTCTTTGCTCTTCCCTTTCTCTTTCCTCTATCGCTTTAATCCA